TGTCTGTGCATCTGTTGCTGGATGGTGTTTATAATCTTAGAAGCAAGAGGCAGCTTGTTCAGGAACAGGCTGGCCAGATTAAAAGAGGCCCCAGTTCTAGCATTGGGGCGGAGAGACAGGGAGGTGTAGGGGTAAGAGACCTGGGTTCAAATTGCCCACTCAGCCAGGAAGCTCACTGGGTTAGGCAACCTTGAGAGTGTCACCATCTTTCTGCCTAAACCGCCTCACAGGGCTGTTGTGGAGAGGTAGAAGTTAAGAAGGGGAGAACCATGTACAGTTCAGTGGAAGATGGTAGAATAAAAATCTTATAAATGAACACTGTTGTGAAAGACCCACTTAACAACTTCACCTTTCAAAAGGGGAGCTGTTTTACATCTGTCGCGGCAAAAATGAGCCTTGTGAGGCCTTCAATGCTAACCAACCTTTTATGGCATGTTCCGGTCCATGAAAGCTCATACCATAATCAATTAGTTACCTGTCTTTGATGGTGCTACAAGATTCATCTTAGATACACGGCTCTTTGGTCACTTTCCAGAGATGCTTGAGTTGCTTGGCTTTCTGAGGAAGGGCAGCCAAGGAGAATGTGGGTGAAATATTCTTTTTATTTTCTTTTTAAAATGTGTGCTCGGCACTTCTTAATGATGTATTCTGAATGAGGGAGAAAAACTTCCCTCCATCCACAGTCTCCACACCCCCGACAACCTCTGCCATATCCAAGGCGGATTATAGAACACATCAAAATAAAGCAAAAATTATATCGGCTTCTATCCCAGCAGGAACTCATAAAACCAAGCAAGGGAAGAAAAATAATGCAAAACCCCCAAATCATCGCCATCATCATCATCATATGGAAGCCTCAGCAGTCAGCCCTAACAAACCTTTCTGAAAAGCTGGGCTGGACCTGGCACCTGAAAGCCCAAATGTTTGGGGGCTGCCTGCCAGGCTCCACTGCGTAAGGCTGGTGCCACAACAGAGAAGACCCCCCTCCTGTCCTTAGGAGACGCCCATCCGGTAGTGTAACTAGGCAGGGGTGGGGGAGGAGCTGTAGGGCAGCATGGCATCTGCTGGGCATTGGGGTGGGCATCTGGGTGGCAGGGAGTTGCTCAACAACGGGGATGCCTCTAATCTAATAATAATAATAATACATTTTATTTATACCCCACCCTCCTCGGCCAGAGCCGGGCTCAGGGCGGCTAACACCAATAAAATTTCAGTAAAAGCATAAGAAGAAAAAAGAAAAAAAGAAAAAACCAATTTAAAATACAGGTTAAAATGCAATTTAAAACGCAGCCTCATTTTAAAAGTCAAAACCATAAGGGGAGGGAAACATAAGGGCCAGACTGAGTCCAAACTAAAGGCCAGGCGGAACAGCTCTGTCTTGCAGGCCCTGCAGAAAGATGTCAAGTCTTGCAGGGCCCTAGTCTCTTGTGACAGAGCGTTCCACCAAGTTGGGGCCAGTACTGAAAAGGCCCTGGCCCAGGCACAAGATTTTGGACATAACATTATGTTTGCTAACTGGGAACAGTTATGGACCACAGGTATGAAATTTACGGCTTGTAATGCCTTAAGAGAAAATATAATGAAAATGATTTATAGGTGGTACTTAACCCCAGTCAAGCTAGCAAAAATCTATCATTTGCCAGATAGTAAATGTTGGAAATGTAAAGAGACTGAGGGTACATTTTTTCACCTTTGGTGGACATGCCCAAGGATTAAGGCTTTCTGGGAAATGATATATAACGAACTGAAAAAGGTATTTAAATATACCTTTCTGAAGAAACCAGAGGCCTTTCTTCTGGGCATGGTCGGCCAATTGGTGCGAAGGGAGGATAGAACTTTCTTTATGTATGCTACAACAGCAGCAAGAATACTCATCGGGAAGTACTGGAAGACACAAGAATTGCCCACCCAAGAAGAATGGCAGATGAAAGTGATGGACTACATGGAACTGGCTGAGATGACCGGCAGAATTCGAGACCAGGGAGAAGGGTCGATGGAAGAAGATTGGAAAAAATTCAAAATATATCTTCAAAAGTACTGCAATATAAAAGAATGTTAGAAAGAGGTTGGAAAAAGAATATTAGGTCGTTCTGGTAGATATGATATAATGGACTAAGCAAAAATGAGTTGATGAAATTGATGAATTAGAGGAGGTTTAATCACATTATTTTAATTTTAAAATACGTAAATGAAAATAAGGTTAGAAGGATTTGCTGGAAACACGATCTGAACTAGAATACAAAACTGGGAGGTGAGAGGAGGTCATGGAAATAAGTAAAGGGAAAAGGCTATGTAAAGGTTTAATCTGTTTTTGTTTTATTTTAACTCAATGTATTTTTATATTTTTTGTTAAGTCTTCTTTTTTATTCTATCTTATTGTTCTTTTTTACTTGTTTATTTCTTGCTTTGTTATGGCTAAAGTTTTCTTTGTATTTTGTATGGTTTTTCTTTTTCTTTTTTGTAACTTTAAATCTGGAATAAATATCATTTAAAAAAAAAGAAAGAAAGAAAAGGCCCTGGCCCTAGTTGAGACCAATCTAACCACCTTGCGACCTGGGACCTTCAAGGCGTTGTTATTTGTGGACCTTAAGGTCCTCCGTGGGGCAGACCAGGAGAGGCGGTCCCGTAGGTACGAGGGTCCTAGGCTGTATAGAGCTTTAAAGGTCAAAACCAGCACCTTAAACCTGACCCTGTACTCCACCGGGAGCCAGTGCAGCTGGTCAAGCACCCATCTAATCATCAGGGCCCTGTAGCAAGACTTCAGATATTGATCAGAATGCAAAGGCGAGCTGGTGGGGGGGAGACATACAGGGTCAGGTGGTCCTGAAACAGACCTTGGACACGATTCGGCAGCCAGTGCAGCTCTTAAAAGTGCCTAATGGGCCGGTTTCAGCCAATGTTTTGCACCAGTTGTAGCTCCTGAACCCTTTTCAAGGGCAGCCCCACACTGAGCACGTCACGGTAGTAGTGAACGGTTGTAGCTGGGGCCAACCTCTCCCTGGGGAAGAGTGCCGCAGGGGCACCAGCTGGAGCTGGCAAGAGGCTTGCACCCCATTCTGGTGGCGGACTGAGAAGGAGGCACTCACAGGTGACAGCAGCAGGAGCGGGAGGAGGCTGTCTTGGGCATGTTGCTCAGGCCCGGAGAGCGACAGGTGAGACACGCTCCGTGCCCCACCTGGAAGGACCTGGTATCCCGTCTCCTCCTCTCTCCCCTCTGGCACGTGAACTGGATTTCACCTGCGATGATGGGATGTCACGAGTGTCTCTTGCTTGACAAAGAGAACTGCCTGCTGCTCCCAAATCCCCACCTCTTCATGGCTCTCGGAGCAAGCGGGTTTCCCATCCTGTCTTTCCTGGTAGGAAACAGCTTCTGGGTAAACAAGAGGAAGTGGGGAAGAGGTGAGTGGCTTGTTCCAGAAGCCTTGCTCTCGGGGAAAGGCTTGGTGGGGAGGGCTCAGCAAAGCCAGGAGGAACTCAAGGGCGGCCAAAGGCTGCTGGCTGGCGGCTCAGGGAGCAGTTAAGTCCGGATTTCTGACCAAGTCATGCACTTTGGCTTACAAGCATCACACTTGCCCTGGGCAGGCAGGGTATAGGGCAGTATATAAATATATAAACCCCTGGGTATAGGGTGGTATATAAATTCAATAAATAATAATAATAACCAGACCCAACACTGTTTGAGGGGGGTCCGTCCTCACATCTACTCTCATCTGGAAATAAATGAGTTTTGATATTTTGCAGTTTGCTTATAAACATACATACATACATACATACATTTCATTTGTATACCAAACTTCATCTGTAGATCTTGGAGCAGGTCACCACATAAAAATACAAGATAAAAACATAAATACATAATAAAACAAAATACATAATATAAACAAGAACAGACACATATAACCCCCACCTCCCCCAAACACATTTAAAAGGGGTGTAAGATGTAAATCAGACAAAGGCCTGTTGAAGAAGAACATTTTCGCCTGGCTCCTAAAGGTGTCTAATATTATTCTTATTATTCTTATTATTCTTATTATTATTATTACTACTAACAACAACAATAGCGATAAAAGATCAAACATTAAAAACTTCCCTAAACAGGGCTGCCTTCAGGTGTCTTCTAAAAGTCAGATAGTTGTTTATTTCCTTGACATCTGATGGGAGGGCGTTCCACAGGGCAGGCGCCACCACCAAGAAGGCCCTCTGCCTGAAGGTGCCAGCTGAACCTTCCTGGGGAGAGCATGCTATAAATGGGGAGTCACTGCAGAAAAGGTCAATTCTCATGTTGCCGCCCTCCAGACCTCTGGTGGAGGAGGCACAGATGATAATTGGAGGATCTGGGTCAATTCCTATGGGGAGAGGCAGTCCTTGAAGTCGTGAGCCATTTAAGGCTTTATAGGCCAAAAACAGCACTTTGAATTGGGCCTGGAGACTAATTGGCAGCCAGTGAAGTTGGGCCATGAATGGTGAAATATCTTCCAACCATCTTGCCCCAGTGAGCAACCTGGCCACCAAATTCTGCACCAGCTGAAGTTTCTGAACCACCTTCAGAAGCAGCCCTACATATAACTAACTGCCTCCATCTTATCTGGACTGAGTTTCAGTTTGTTGTCTCTCATCCAGTCCATTACTGAGGCAAGACACTGGTCCGGCATTTCCCCTGCCTGACCTGCAGGTGTAAGGGAGAAGTAGAGTTGTGTGTTGTCAGCAAATTGCTGACAGCAAACTCTGGATGACCCCACACAGCGAGTTTGTGTAGACAGAGGATAAAATCAAACCCTGATTGGGGGTTGCTCCACAGGTCTGAAACATCTTCCTTAAAAACGTCCATCTAAGTAGGACTGGAGCCACCACAAAGCAGTGCCACCAACCCCCAACTCAGACAGCTGCTCCAGAAGGACACCATGGCCGATGGTATAGTTAAAGGAAACTTCCTGGCTCACTTGGATTTGCCAAACAAAGATATCAGCCAAGAATACTGGAGCAAAACAGCAGCCTGTAGGCCTGGTCTTTATTAAACTGTTGCAACAGGACTTCCAACTACTGCATGGAAGAAGCGGAAAGAAGCCCCAACAAAGGATGGCTCCCTTTTCTATGTTTCCCCTTTTACCCATAACACCCTTAGTGAAGCATCATACAGACATCATATATACATCACAGCCATGTCATAATCTGGGAGGGGTCTCCTGGCAGAAACATGAGTATCTGGTTTCCCCCCATCCCTCCCTTGACCTCCACCTCATACCCATTAAGTAAAAGAAAAGGTATGTACATGTTCCTGTTCTCCTGGTCAAGTTAATCATACCCCTTTGTCTTGACCAAGATCCTAACAAACTTAGGTTGGGTTTATTATTGTTTCTGGAATGGCTACCTGTCTGGCACTCAGGGGCCAGGATGCCCGCGGTTATCACCTGGGCAAGGAGGCTGCTGAGTATGGTCTCAGGCTTGGGGGATTATGGCTGCCCACATCCCAGGCTCCCTCCTTGGTAGCCATTCCTTTCCTGAACAGAACAAAGTTGGGACAGTGCAAATACAATACTGGAGCAATTTTATATGACTTTCTAAAGTTTTCCCATTGAGCCAGTAGATAGATACATTTATCAGTGAATTGTTGCATTCGTTAACGTGCAGTAGAGGCCCTTTGAATAGAGATAGGAAAAAATTGTGTGATGAAGTGTTTTGTGGGGACATTTGCAGGAGTGATTGTGTTGAGTTTGGTAGTCGGGGGGGGTGTATGATGTCTGCTGGAGGGGCAACCTCAAAAATAAACTTTACATAAATTAACTGCTATAAGAAAAAAACTGTTCCTTTTCCCTTATGGGGTATCCAAGAGCCCATATAGAGTCCTTTATCGGGTTCCCTATCAGTAGGAGAAAATAACAGAGGCCAACCAGAGAATACTGAGAAGCAACGCAGCTAGTAAGCTTGATCTTTATTAAACTGTTGCAACAGGGTCCCCCGCTCACCCCACGCAGGGAGGGAGAAGAACCTAGAACAATGGTGTACAAGCTCTTATCCAAGGATCTGTATTTGTTAACTAATAGCCGTACCCCAGCCAAATGTTGGTTCCCTCAGTGCTTAAGGCAGTAGTTAAATCTGAGCTTGATGTGCCTATACACTCTAAAAAAACACCTGCCTTAGCTGACAAATTATATGACTTGGATCCTGAATCATGGAATATATTAAGACTCCTACTATAGACAGACCAGTTTTAAATCTGTCATTGTGACATCTGGTCCCCAAGGAAGGAAATGCTCAACTTCTGGACCCTACTGATAGGAGAATCGAATTTGCCTTATGCAAGACCCATGATGCAACGGCCCTCTCTATGAGAGCTGCCTGCGTAGCATCCTCACGCGCTCGAGCTTGAGGACTTGTTGCAATCTCCTCCCCAAGATCCAGCTCGACAGCACCAGATTCTGACCAAACTCCTTAAAGCTCGAGCTTTTATGGGAGACGCCTCCATGGACCCCATGCTGTTTGCAGCTGAAGCAATGACATCCTAGGTAGCTGCTAGGCGCACCCTGTGGCTAAAGCCCTGGGACGCTGATGCTGCCTCTAAAGTAAACCTTTCCGCTGAACCTTTTTCAGGCGGTCAGCCGGAATGGAGAAGCTACTGAGAGGGCCTGAAGCTCTGACATCCACAGTCGGTGGGGCCAAAAAGAAGGGAGCAGAACCACCTCTGTCTTTTCCTGTCTGATCTTGCGAAGGGCCGTGGAAGGATGGATTGAGGTGGGAATGCATAGAGGAGGCCTTCAGGCCACGGGGACACTACAGCATCTCATGCCTCTGCTTGAGGGTCTTGAAATCTCAAAAATGAATGTAGTAATTGATGAGAGGCTTTGCTCGCAAACAAGTCCACTTCGAACTGGCCCCAGCCAGAGCCTCCTTTCTGCAGAGCATGGGAAGCTTGTTGTCCTCCTAGAGCACAATATACATCAGGAGGCTTAGTTGGATCAGAATTGAGTATACGCTTCCAGAGTTAACACTAAATACATTACTTCTGGTAACGTAGCCTCCATAGCCACTAGAGGGCCATGAAAATTGGTGTCCTGGGCTTTTTAGACTCGTCTACCCACCAGAAGCGGCTTAGTCGTGCTGGCCACATGAACCGGAAGCTGTCTGCGGACAAACGCCGGCTCCCTCAGCCAGTAAAGCGAGATGAGCACCACAACCCCAGAGTCGTCCACAACTGGACCTAACAGTCAGGGTACCTTTACCCACGTACTATCTGAAACCAAAGGGGCCTATTGGTCTGCCAGATGTGAAATATATTGGCATTGTTTTCAGCTCTCTCATCCTACTTCTTGCCTTTGAGGGCATGGCAGTTTTCAGACCTATGCTGCAAGCACAGCTTGATCAGGTGCCCAGCTGCCTTGCCACAGAGCAGCAGTCCCCCGATCCTCCAGGGGCTGCTTCCTGTGCTCTGGCCACGTAGGTCCAGTCAGGCCTCTTCTTCTGGACCAGGCGCGCCTCGCCTGTGTCAAAGACTTCCTCTGAAAGGCACCCCTCGCCCTGCACGACGCCCACTACTGCATGTGATCGCCTCTTCAGCCAGCCAGGGGACACTTCTGGGCCTGCAGATTCCCATTGTTACGGAAATGACATGGGGGGGGCACAGCTTTGAAGTTGTTTTTGTTGTTGTCATTCAGTTATGTCCGACTCTTCGTGACCCCCTGGACCAGAGCACACCAGGCACTCCTGTCTTCCACTGCCTCCCGCAGTTTGGTCAAACTCATGTTCATAGCTTCAAGAACACTGCCCCACCATCTCGTCCTCTGTCGTCCCCTTCTCCTTGTGCCCTCCATCTTTCCCAACATCAGGGTCTTTTCCAGGGCGTCTTCTCTTCTCATGAGGTGGCCAAAGTATTGGAGCCTCAGCTTCACGATCTGTCCTTCCGTGAGCACTCTGGGCTGATTTCCTTAAGAATGGATACGTTTGATCTTCTTGCAGTCCATGCGACTCTCAAGTTGGTTCTTACGAGCACTGTGTAAAAGATTCTTTTGCTAATAAAATGGCCTGGCGAGGGGTGTGGTGAACGGACTTTCTCCGAGAGCCTTGCTGGTCAAAGCCTCGTGTCTTGATTTTTAATCAGGGTCCAATCCTTCCTTTACTTTACAAATGCAACAGACTGTTAGGTCCAGTCACGGACGACTCTGGGGTTGCGGCGCTCATCTCGCTTTACTGGCTGAGGGAGCCGGCGTCCAGCTTCCGGGTCATGTGGCCAGCATGACTAAGCCGCTTCTGGCGAACCAGAGCAGCACATGGAAACGCCGTTTTCCTCCCCTCGGCAGCAGTACTTATTTATCTACTTGCACTTTGATGTGCTTTCGAACTGCTAGGTTGGCAGGAGCAGAGACCGAGCAACGGGAGCTCACCCCGTCATTGCGGGGATTCGAACCGCCGACCTTCTGATCGACAAGCCCAAGAGGCTGAGTGGTTCAACCCACAGCGCCACCCGCGTCCCCAGCCCTTGTGTGCCCCTCCCCATTTGTGACATGCTAGTGATGTAGTGATGAGGGATCCGTGATGTCCCTCGAAGTGTATTCTGGGGGAAGAGGAGCTCACCCCCTGCTCGGGGTTCTAACTCCGCGTGGGAATCAAGATCATGGTCCACTGACCGCTGCCTTGCTCCAAACTGCTTGGCTGGAGCTTCCTTCTTTTCCCGACTGCATGGACCCTCAGGGGACTCGCTCCCCGGCCAGCTGGGCTGCTGGGCTGTCTCTCCCCTGGAATTTCCCCCTTAACACCACCTCATTTGGCCTGGCGCGACCCCTGAACCTCGGCAGAGGTGGGCCGGGGACGCTCTGGCCTCCTGCCCGGGAGCCCCGGGGTCGGGGCCTTCCTTCTCCCGCTGCTGCCGCCGGGCTCCGGCCAGGCCCTGCCCGGCCTCCGGGTCCTGGGCCCGCGCAGGGCCTCGGCTGCCTCGCCACAGCCGCCCATCCCGCCAACTCCCCTCAGGACGCCCAAGCTGCTGCAAAGGCTTCTGGGACGGAAGACGCAAAGGCTTCTGGGATTGCCAGCCCCTCTTTCCGCGCCTTTTCCCCCCGGCGCATGCGCTTCCCCCTCACGGAAACGGCTTTTTTCCTCGGCTCACGTGAGCCGCTCGCTCTTCCTCCCGTCCCCTTGGCAACGGCGCCCTCTCCTCCCGCCCTCCCTCCCTCCCGCGGGTCCGACGGAGAGGCGCCGGCAGCGCGCTCGGCGACGCGTCCCGCGATTGGCTGCTGCCGGCGGCGCACGCTGATTGGCCGCGGGCGGCCCCCAGTGCGCCTGCGCCGGCGGCCCGCCGTCTCCGCCTTCCCTCGCCGACATGGAGCGCGCCGGCGCCGCGCCGGAAGAGCCGCGCCGGGCCGCCTGCGTGGGTGTCACGTGGGAGCGGGGAGGAGGAGCCCCGCGAGGTGGACCGCCCCTGACGCCCCCCTCTCTCTCTCTCCCCCGCAGCCACCAAGCGCCGCCCGCCCGTCGCGCCCGCCCCGCCGCCGCCGCCGCCGCCCGGCCTCCCGGCCCCCAGCCCGGCCCCCCGGACGGAGCCCACGCGGCTCTTCGAGGACACCAGCGCCGGCGCCTTCCTGGCCGAGCCCGTCTCCAGCTTCGCCGCCGCCTACGGGAGCAGCCTGGCCAGCCAGGGCAAGGAGATCGTGGGCAGGAACGTGAGTGGCGCTCCGGGGCCTGAGCAGAGGGACCCCCGCGGAGCGCCCCTTCGGCCCAGACCAGGACCCGCCCAGGTCCCCCCCCGAAATGGCAGGAAGGGACCCCGGGGGGCCATCTAGTCCAGCCCCTGCCAGGCAGGAATCCCAACTCATCCATATGATCAGTTGCATGGCATTCACTACCAGGAGTGCAGGGTGGCAGCGGTGGTTCTCCCGGCCTCCTCGCTTAATCCTCACCACAACCCTGTGAGGTAGGCTGGGCAGAGAGAGAGGCAGTGCTTTGCAACAAAAGAAATCCCCTTCAGACACTTGATGTAATAATAATAATAATAATAATTTTATTATTCATACCCTGCCCATCTGGCTGGGTTTCCCCAGCCACTCTGGGCAGCTTCCAACAAAACACTAAAATACAATAACCTATTAAACATTAAAAGCTTCCCTAAACAGGGCTGCCTTCAGATGTCTTCTAAAAGTCTGGTAGTTGTTTTCCTCTTTGACATGTGGTGGGAGGGCGTTCCACAGGGTGGGCGCCACCACTGAGAAGGCCCTCTGCCTGGTTCCCTGTAACTTGGCTTCTTGCAGCGAGGGAACTGCCAGAAGGCCCTCGGAGCTGGACCTCAGTGTCCAGGCAGAACGATGGAGGTGGAGACGCTCCATCAGCGGCTCCTCTTTCCTCTCTGCTCACGCTCTGCTTCTGCCGCTTCTCCCGCCCTCCCAGATCGACCGCTTTGTCCCCGTGACCAAGCTGAAGTACTACTTTGCTGTGGACACCGTCTATGTGGGCAGGAAGCTGGGGCTGCTCCTCTTCCCCTTCCTGCACCAGGTGAGCTGCAAAGGGCCCCGGCTAAGGCGGGATGGGGGGGAACTGCGGGGATCAGTCTGCTCCCAGCTGCCCCCTGCTGTGGCTTTGAGGCTCAGGCCAGGGCTCCTTTCCCTGTGCCACCCCAGCCCCTTTGCCCACCCTGGTCTCTGGGCGGCAGGAGCCCGTTGGGAGCCTGTGGGGGTTCTTGGCTGTCTTTGGCAGGACTGGCAGGTGCAGTACCAGCAGGACACCCCCGTGGCCCCCCGCTTTGACGTCAATGCTCCCGACCTCTACATTCCAGGTACGGCAGGTCCCTGGGGGTCCCTGGGGTGGCTGGGGGGAGGTGCCCCTGGGGAGGGAAATGGTGACAGGGCTGAGCGCCAGTCTCTCCCATGGCTAAGGAGCCCTTTCCCTCCGCAGTCATGGCGTTCATCACCTACATCCTGGTGGCAGGGCTGGCGCTGGGGACTCAGAACAGGTGAGAGGATTTAGGGATCGCCTTTCTGCTGGCATTCCTAGAGAAGGCGGGGCAAGGCAGCTCCCCCAAACGCTGCTGAGCTTCCCAGGAAGATCTGGACCCCATCCTCATTTCCGGGCCGCTTCAGCCCAAACTGGCCTGGCATCCTGCAAAAAATCCCAGGATGTGTAGCTTGTGAAGGATGCTGAGTGTTGTCAATGTTTGTTTTTCTTTTTAGTGTTTATGTTATTAACTTGTAAGAAGATATGGATTCGGTTTTTGTTGTTGTTGTCTTGAATGTTGGTTTTTATGTTTTGTGTATTGTTATTTTTTGATATTTTTCGTGTTGTTGTATGGAAAATACCAATAATATATATATGTATATGTATATATATGTATATATAAATATCTAAAAAGAGAGTTGTTAGGAACCCCGTAGCTCTGGGAGGGGATAAGGGGTCTCCTATCAGCTCCCTTAGAACAGTCCTCTATCTAGTCCAGCCCCCTGCAGTCCAGGAATCACAGAGTCCCTGACAGTGGCCACCCAACCTCTGCTTAAAAAGCTCCAAGGAAGGAGAGCCTGCCCCTTCCGCTGTGGACAGGCTCTTACTGTCAAGAATATTTTCCGAAAGTTTAGTTGGAATCAGGGAAGAGGCGTGAGAGGGTGTGGGGCTGTGAGGCCTGGGCGGTTTGGGTGGCCAGGGAGCCCCTCCCTCAATACTCTCCCTCACCCGCCCCTTGCAGATTCTCCCCCGACCTCCTGGGCCTGCAGGCGAGCTCAGCCCTGGCCTGGCTCATTGTTGAGGTGCTGGCCATTCTCCTCAGCCTCTACCTGGTCACCGTCAACACGGACCTCTCCACCATTGACCTGGTGGCCTTCTCAGGGTACAAGTACGTTGGGTGAGTAACCAGGAGGCGAGGGCAGCCTGATCCAGCCGGGGGGGGGCAGACTGAGCCCCTCTCGATGTTGGATATTTTATTGTTTTTAATATCCTGTTGGAAGCCGCCCAGAGTGGCTGGGAGGCTCCGCCAGATGGGTGGGGTATGATGATGATGATGATGGGCTGGGGAAGAGCCCGGCTCTGGGCCTGACGCTTCTCCCCTCCTGTGACAGGATGATCGTTGGCCTCCTGGCTGGGCTGCTCTTTGGGAAGACGGGATATTACCTGCTGCTGAGCTGGTGCTGCCTCACAATTTTTGTCTTCATGGTAAGAACTTCCAGGAAGTGTTTGGTGGGGGGTCATTTCCCAAACTCTTCTGCACTTGTTGAGCATTTTACACAGGAGGAGCCGGCCTCGTCTCAGGCTCTGCGTTGGCCTCCAGTAACAGCAGCTTTTTACCAGTTTTGTTACGGGATTTAGGGCAGGGAGGCTGGTTCTGCCACACACTGAGCAGAGCTGAGGGAGTGCCACAACTATGGTGTAGCAGCGCATGTGCAGAGCGGAAGGCAAGAGGTGGGGGGCAGGTGTTGAATTTTGGCCTCGCACAGGGCAGCGCTGAAATTTGAAAGGCCAAAGGTCTGCCCCTGACTATGGCCCTTCCTGGACAAGGACAGCCTGACCACTGTAGTCTGTGCATTGGTAACTTTGAGGCTGTGTGTGTGTGTGTGTGTGTGTGTGTGTGTGTTTAGTCGTGTCCGCCTCTTCGTGACCCCCTGGACCAGAGCACGCCAGGCCCTCCTGTCTTGCACTGCCTCCCTCATGCTGGTAGTTTTGAGAACACTGTCCCACCATCTCGTCCTCTGGCGTCCCCTTCTCCTTGTGCCCTCCATCTTTCCCAACATCAGGGTCTTTTCCAGGGAGTCTTCTCTTCTCATGAGGTGGCCAAAGTCTTGGAGCCTCAGCTTCAGGATCTGTCCTTCCAGTGAGCACTCAGGGCTGATTTCCTTCAGAATGGATCGGTTTGATCTTCTTGCAGTCCATGGGACTCTCAAGAATCTCCTCCAGCACCGTAACCTTGAGGCTAGATTACTGCAATGTGCTCTACGTAGGGCTGCCCTTGGCTTCGGTCTGAAAGCTCCAACTGTGCAAAATGTGACAGGGGCCTCCGGCTGAGAACACCTGTTGAACGGCTTCCCTGGCCACTTAACACAAGAAGAGCCCTGCTGGATCCGGCCAGTGGCCCGTCTGGTCCAGCATCCTCTTCTCACGCTGGCCAACCAGATTCCCCAAAGGGAAACCCTCAGTTAGGGTAGAGCCACGCCGTCTCCCCTCCTGTGGTTTCCAGTAACTGGGCTTCTGAAGCCTCGCTGTGGAGAGCAGAGCTGTTGTGGCCGGTAGCCATCAGTCGCCCTCTTCTCCGTGAATTCGTTCCTTCGGAGCCGGGTTCAAAGTCCTTGTGTTGCTCTAGAAAGACCCTGAAGCCTTTGGTCCCAGCTCAGTCACTGAGATCACCTGCAGGAGTGTCGTTGGCCATTCCCCAAGTTGGAGATCCTCACTTGATAACAAGGAACTGCGCCTTTAGCGCCTAGTCCTGTGGAACGCTCTGCCACTGGAGATTCAAGAGGCACCTTCTGTGCCAGCTTTTAAACACCCGCTGAAACCTTTTCTGTTCCGCCAGTCGTATACCAGCAGCTAAGAATACTTCCTTCTAGAATAACCAATTGCTGTCAGTTTGTAACTTTTTTGGTGGGTTTTATTGCATGGCTTTATTACTGCAAACCCCTCTGAGGTGTAAAAGCAGTATGCAGATGGCCTAGAAATAAAACTGCGCCCGTTGCGAGTCCCCAGGCAGGCAGCGCCTCTGTGTCCCTCCCTGCACTCCGCCCCTGATTCACCTTTTCCTGTGGCTTTTCCAGATCAGGACCCTGCGCCTGAAGATCCTGTCGGAGGCAGCGGCCGAGGGGGTGCTGGTGCGGGGAGCCAAGAACCAGCTGCGCATGTACCTGACCATGGCTGTGGCCGGCCTGCAGCCGCTCATCATGTACTGGCTCACCTTTCACCTCATCTACTGACGGACGGGTCTGCCAAGGGGGCAGGGCGGGGATCCTCACTCCTGGTTGGGGTCTGTGTGGCAGGCTGGACATAGACCTGGCCTGGAGCCACTGTGGCTCTGGCTTCAGCGACCTCAGGGTGGGTGGATGTTGTCAGGGGTGGGTGGGCAGCCGGAGCCTGTTTGTAGATGGGGGTGGGGTGCTCCGACAGGGGTCCCAGGCAGGCTTCCACTGAGCTCCCTCTGCCTGGGGGGCAGCATCCTTTTCCCACCCCCCTTTGCATGCCAGAGCCCTTGTGATCACTGCACACCACTGGCGTTCTCCCCCCGTGCGCCAGGTTTTGCTGCTTGCGAGCAACTCAGTATTACTACGGAGGGCGGGGGAGGCTGTCGGGGGGGGGGTTTATGGAGCAGCCGCCCGACACCTGCCTCCCCCCCACCAGCCCACAAGCTGCTTGCTTCTCTGTTCAACTTCACAGCCTTTGGTGCTGTACACACAACACCAGCCCAATAAAGAATAAAACCTGCACCGGGGGTCGCTCTCTGCTGCTTGGGGGGGGGTGGAGAAAGTGGGGCTTTCTTTCTGGAGCAAGAAGGCTCTTTCAGGCTGCGGTGGTTCCTCTCAGCAGAGCATGCAGCTTGCGTCGCTCGCTCAGCCTGCAACACCGTGCCACTGCTTACTGGGTGCAAAGCGGGGAGGAGAGGTTGGGGGGCGGGGGGGGGGCAGCACTAGGGCTTGGCCCTCGCAGAAGAACGGCACTCCTTCCCCCCCTCTTCCTTGTAACTACCTCCTCACTCCCTCCACGCTCCCTGGTCCACCAGTGGGACCTGGGGCTGAATTGTGGTTCCTCTGGCATGGAGAGAAGGCGAGGCTGAATCTGCTCAGAGCAACCTCCTCCTTTGCCCCCCTGTGGCCCCCTCCAGCTCAGCCACCCCCTCCAGAGTCTCACGCCTCTCCTGGGGCCCAGATGGGTCTGGTCCAGGCCTGCCAACTAACACACCCTCACAGCTCCTTGCCTCCGAAAGGATTTAATTCTTTTACTCTGCTGAAGTTTCACCTTCCATTTCCTTCCATAGACATTCCAGTGTAACAGAAAAGGCAGCTCCCTTTATTTGTCCCAATAGTGCAAAAAGCAGGAAAAAACCCTTCATGAGAACATGAGCAGAGCCTGCCAGAATCCTGTTCTCAGGTGCCTCTTATGAGAAGCCAGCAAGCAGCATCCGAGCACAAGAGCCTTCTCCCTTCCTGCGGTTTCCAGCACCTGCCATTCGGAAGCATTGACTGCCTCTGTGGCCAGGAGCCCTCGCTGGCCCTCTCCTCCTCCTCTGTGAATTGGTCCAGTCTTTGAAAGCCATCCCAATTGGTGCTCCTGCTGCCAGCAGAAGAAAGCAAAGCCCATCCACATACAATGCAAGGCCCCTGATGCGCCAACCTTCAAAATGCAAAGCCCTTCCCCTGCTGAACCATCACCAGGGAGCACAACACGCTTGACAATCTGAAAGCAGCCCCTTTCTTTAGTCCTTTAGTTCGTTATCCAAAGGAGGGAGCTGCTCCATGATGGCTCCGCTGGGGCTTGGCAGGTCTGCGGTGAAGAGTCCTGGGGTGGGCAGTCTCAGTGGCTTCTCCTCTCCTTCTTCTTCTTCTTCTCCTTATGGGGCTTCTTTTCTTTCTTGGGCTTCTTCAGCTTCTTCTGGCGGCCAGTGCCAGGTCCCTGCAAGGGGGCGGGAGCAGAAGATTTTACACTTCCCACCAGCTGCAGCAGGCAAGGGAAGTTTGCCTTTTGACCAGGAGCCAGCCCTCAATCCAGGGGTGGGTGTGTTGAGGGAGGATGTGTCCCCTCCCAGGCCCGGTGCAGTGGGGGGGGGGGATGGATAGGGCTGGCCAGGAAATGGGGAGGGAGACACGGAAGAGAGGAGAGGCTGTGGAGACTGCTTTTCAGGAGACTCTGCCACCACTGACTATCAAAGGCCGGTTGGCATTATGCAGGAGGTTTTTACATTGCCCAGAGAGTGGAGCCCTAGAATGGGAGAATTGGAAGGGGCCCTGGTGGCAGGAATCTTTTGCCCCACGTGAGCCTGGGGAAGGGGTCAAGGCACCCAGCATGGGGGGTGGAGTCAAGCGTTGCTCACAGTCCTGACATGGAGGAAGCTATTGCTTGTCACCTGCGACAGAATGACTTGCAACCATGCATCTCCACACCCAAAGGCACACAGACCCGGCAGGAAGCCTGACCCTCACAAACTCTCAAAACCTGGCCAAAGAGGCACATCTTAACCTGGGTTGGAGGTCAGGAAGAGGCCCGTGGCCATCTGGTCCATCCCGCCCCCCTCCTTAGAGGGCCAGCCAGGTGGCCATGATGGGAGACCCGGGGCTGGAGCCCCTCTCCCAGTCTGGCCTCCAGCTGCACGTCTAGGCTTCCCTGGACGCGCCCCTCCTGGGAAGTGGAGGGGGGGGCAAAGGCGACCAGGGTCTCCGAGAGGGGGGGCGGTCAGGCTTCTTTCTCCTGGACGGGGGTCCCTCTGTCCACCTCCCGCCCCCGCCTCTTGCCTTGCGCTCCTGGTCGCTGTCGCTGGAGGAGGAGGAGCTGCTGCTGGAGTCGGATGCAGATCGGGGCCCGCCTTCCTGCAAGAGGGAAGCCGGAGTGAAAAGGGGGTCTCCGCCAGTTGCTCCAGTGAGACCGCAGCCCCTGGAAGCGGGGAATGGGAGAGGAGGGACCCCCCAACTCACCGCGAGGCTCTTTGCTGCGCCCTCGGCCGCAGGAGGCGCCCCCGACGGCTGGGCAGGCGCGTCGCCGCTGCGCGGGCCCGGCTTCATCTCCGCGACGGGGTCGGGCTTCGGGGGATCGGGCCCCAGCGCTGCAGGCGGATGAGAGAGGGAAAGGGGCGCGCCAGGGTGACACGGGGCCTCACCTGGAGGGGACCCAGGCGTCCTGGCCTTGGGGACACCCCGCCCCCCGACAAAAAAGGGAGAGACCCCAGCCGTCGGGCCAGGCGCGCCCCGACTCACCTGCCGCCAGGTCGAAGTCCATCGCGCCAGGTGCGCCCTTGCTCCGGGGGGCGACGGCGGGGCGCTTCCGCGGAGAGGCGAGGCGAGGCGCCGCCCGGAGAGGAGGGATCCGGCGCGCTGGCTCGGGAGCCGCCCCGGAGCGTCATCCTGGGCGGGCGGAGCTGCGTCCGCCCCGTCGGGGGCGCCAGGGGCTCCTCCGGGCGCAGAAGCACAGAAGTGGCCAAGGGACGGGGAGGGGGGTCTCTGGAGGCCGGAGCTTGGGGGGCATAGGGCGCGCACACCCCCTGCCCGCCTGGCCAGAGGTCCTGAGCTTAGACAGGGTTCTAAGAAAAAACTGCTCCTTTTTCCCTTATGGGGGACACAAGAGCCCGTATAGAGTACTTAAGTGGGTTCCCCATTGGTAGGAGAAAATAACAGAGGCCAAGCAGAGAATATTTGGAAGCAAAGCAGCTCCTAAGCCTGATCTTTATTGATCTCTTGCAACAGGGTTCCCCGCTCACCCCAGGCAGGGAGGAGAGGAACTCAGAACATTGGTGTGCAAGCCCTTATATAGACATTTGAAAATTGCCTCCCCTGTAGCTCAAGACCGCCCCCCCCAAACATACATACATCACAGTAGGAGACCGTCTACAGCAGAAAACCTGTCTGCCAGGCTACCTGATAATGGTCACGGACTGCTTTTATCTGGGCAGCCTGGCCATTCTTTTGTGATGGTCAAGTTTCTGAATCCAGATCACAGGCTCACCCTATTCATACACTGATAGGCCCTTAAGACAGGATTTGTGAGCAAAGAGACTACGGGGAGGCTTTGCAGGCACACGCGCTAAACCCTGTCTGTGGTGCCTACCCCTTTATCCCAAATGATGAGACAAGAGTATGGGTTCAAATTGGCCACAGATCTGATCCTGGAAGAACAGCAAAGAGGCTTGAGCAACGGAGTCATCCTCTTTTCTTTTGGCCTTAGGCCCACCCACAGCCAGCCATCCATCGTCCTCCCTGGCCAAGGGCGGGTCAAAGGCCAGCTCAAGCAGGTGGGTGGCACCCGCCCAGGTGAACCTTGCTCAGTGCCACAAACCCACCCACCTGTGGGGAAGGGAGGGCGGATATTCCCATTTCCTCCCTCCTTGCAGAGAAACATTTGAGGTCCATTTGGGAGAGTCAAGATGGCTTCAGGGTTGCTCTCCTGTACTATTCCAGACACATGGTTTGCTTTGTACATTTATTATATATACAGTGGTGCCTCGCAAGACGAAATTAATCCGTTCCACGAGAGTCTTCGTCTAGCGGTTTTTTCGTCTTGCGAAGCAACCCTATTAGCGGCTTAACGGATTAGCGCTATTAGCGGTTTAGCGGCTATTAAAGGCTTAAAGGCTTAGGGGATTAGCTGCTAAAAGGCTGTTAAAGGCTATTAAAGGCTTAGCAGATTAGATAAAGGGGGGGGAAAGCGAAAAAAAAATCTCTAGACTCGCAAGACATTTTCGTCTTGCGAAGCAAGCCCATAGGGAAATTCGTCCTGCGAAGCAACTCAAAAACGGAAAACCCTTTCGTCTAGCGGGTTTTCCGTCTTGCGAGGCATTCGTCTTGCGGGGCACCACTGTATATGAGATCTTAGAATTCCTATAACAATAGGATGCTCTGACAGCACTGTAGAGCTGGAAGAGACCCCCAAGGTCATCTAGTCCCAGGAACCAAGAACCCCTGGCAGAGGGCCGTCCAACCTGTTTAAAACCCCTCCACGAAGGAGAGCCCACTGCTCTGTCCAGCAGCTCTTACCCTCAGAAAGTTCTTCCTTGTGTTTTGAGGCAGTATCTTTCCTTGTGAGGTGAATCCTTTGCTTAGGGTCCTGCCCTCTGGGCAGCAGAAACCGGTCTCGCTCCGTGCAGTGGGGCAGGCACAGCCCTGCATGCTACCGTGCTCTGCTAATTGGGGGGTTGAGATGCCTGTATCTTTAAGGGCTGCCCCCCCCCCAGTGGTGCAACAGGCCAGCTGGTTGACTTGCAGAGCAGCTGCTTCCTGCTTGGTCCAGCCTTGGGCAGGAGGGGGTTAATTCATGACACAGGAGGGAAACATGCGGACCCTCTTTGTTCTCCCCTCTGCGCTGCTTTTTGGGGGGTGTTTTCTGAGAGAGAGGAGAGAGGAGATAGTTGATCCCTCTGCTGGCTAAACACAACACACACACACACACACAGCCACCGCCCCCAAGCTGTGGGTCTGGACACCTGCCAGGCCTTTTCTGTCCCAAGCAGGAAATGTTCCCTTGCACCAGATTCAGTGTAAAGCTTGGGTTTGGATGTGGCAGAATTGTGGCCTTCCCTGAAAGTGGGGCTTTTGGTGGGTGTGGGGCAGGGGAAGGCTAGAGTTCTCACAAGTCCCTCCTTTGGGCAGAGTAATGTGACAGAGGCCAGAGAGGCTTGTCCCGGCAATAAATAATTAAATAAATAAATAATTAAATAAATAATAATAATTTTATACCCAGCCCATCTGGCCAGGTTTCCTCAGCCACTCTGGGCGGCTCCGAATAGAATATTAAAAACACGATAAATACATAAAACCTTAAAAGCTTCCCTCAACAGAGCTGCCTTCAGATGTCTTCTAAAAGTCAGGTAGTTGTCTGTTTGATTGACATCTGATGGGTGTTCCACAGGGCGGGGGCCACCACTGAGAAGGCCCTCTGCCTGGTTCCCTGCAACCTCACTTCCCACAGGGAGGGAGCCGCCAGAAGGCCCTCGGAGCTGGACCTCCATGTCCAGGCTGAACGATGGGGGTGGAGACGCTCCTTCAGGTCTACTGGGCTAGACTCCCCTCTCCACGACAGGAGTCACCCCAGGTGAACACACAGAACAGGCCTGGAGCAGGAATGGTGCCCCGGCAGCTGCCCCCAATGGCTTTGTCCTTAGGGGGGATGCAGAGAGAGAGAGACGAGGCTTCCCCCCAGGTGGGGCGCAGGGGTTGCCACCTCCCTGCCTTCCCTTCCCTCTCAAGAGCCAGGGGTCCCCCCCCTGAAAGCTGCACACACACACACACACACACACACGCACCGGCTGTCCAGCACAAGATGGCTCCAACCACGGCAAGAGTTTGATCTGTTTTATTCAAACACCTTCCAGATTTAAAAAGGCAATTAAAAGAACAATTCCAAAAGATTCGGTGCAATCAAGTTTCAATTTTTTAAAAAAGTATAAAAACCCACTGAATGCTACACACAAGTCAGATTTTGCTCAGACGGAGGGGCCCTGGTTGCCCATCAAGGGGAGGGGGGAATAAGCGGGAGTCAGTTCCTTGTTTTCTCCAGAGGAGGAGGTCCAGCAGCCTCAGCTCCCAGGGAGGACCCAGGCAGGCAGGAAGGCAGGCGCCATGATGTAAGTGGCCTGCCTGTTCCTCCCACCTGCCAGCCCTGCAGCTGGAGCCTGATGGTCCCTGAAAGATCAGGAAGATGCAGACATGTTCAGGGCAGCCAGTCCCAGAAGCACAAGGTGATTTCAAGGCCACAGAGGAGGACTTGGACCAAACTGAAAACCTGCCTCCCTTTTTTTCCCCTCCTGAAGCTCCTCCTGCTGCAATGACTCTGGCAGGGACACCTGGAAAGCACACCTGTGAAGGCCAGGAAAGGGGCCAGGATGGAGGGAGGGATGGGGAAGCTGCAGGTGGAAGGAAGGGAAGGCGGCTGCGGCAGCAGCTCAGGCAGAGAGGAAAGGCCTCTCCGGCAAACGTGGAACTAGAACGCACTTCAACTGATCCAAAACAAAAGGGAGTAGCCAGCAGAGTTGGACACACACGGAAAACAGAAACCTTGCACAAGGCAGGAGCAGCTCAGGGAGGAGCGGAAGGGGCCAAAGCAAAGCGGGCCTTGAAGGGGGGGTCATCCTGCCTGCCTGGGGAGTGTCTTTCTGCGGAGAGCAGGGCCAGGGCCCGCCCCCTTTGGGCAAGCAGAGCACCTGTGGCCAGACTTGGCTTGTGGGGCTCAGGGACACCCCGGGGGGGTCTGTCTGGGGTGTGAGAAATGGCTGGAGTCTCCCTGGAAGCAGAAACAGCAGCCGCCGTCCCTTCCCACCCCCTCGCAGCAAGAGGCCATAAAACAGACGGCAAAGTCCGCAAAAACACAGGCCGCTCCCTGAGGCAAAGACCGCGCCCAGGCAGAGGCAGGGCATTCCTGACCCCACAGAGACTTTGACCCCCCCCCCAACTCTCAGGAGCAGCGCTGTGAAGACTGGGGCAGGGGAATGAACATTCAGTGGGAGACGCTTCGCTCCCTGCCCTACAAAGCAAAATTTCGTACCACCGGGGGGGGGGGAGAGAAGAGGGCCCCCGCCTCGCCAATTTCTCCCTCTCTACCTTCACATCTCTACCCTGCAGTGAGGAGTCACAGCTTCATGGAATCAGGGACTCCAGCATTGTGCCAACCCAAAAAAAAACACCACCTGCTGTAACAACTGGGCTTCACCACCTGCGTTGAGCATCTCCCACAGACCAGACCCACGGGAATCTGGGAACGGCAGCGGATCCCAAGGCTGGGGAGGTGCCCCTTCAACTTGCACTGGCATTGAGGAGGGCGGCTGTGATAAATGGGGGGAGAGGGGCAGGCCGTGTATCTTGACTCTTGCATTCGCCCAGGTGCCCTTCCCTTCCATGTTTGGGGCGCAGGCCTCCCCCATGCTCCAAGTAACCTTTCCAGGGAGGTGGGGCCCCAGATATAGCCCTCCCCCGCCCCCCGACCGTGTTCCTGCTCCCGGCAGCTGTGCTTAGAAGAGAAGGGGCGAGCAAACTTGGGGAGACAACCAGCGTCATGAGAAAGGAGACCCCTCCCTGGGAGAGATTTATGATCCAAGCGTGTTCTACACAGCTGGCCCCCGCGAGGGGGCGGTTAGGGCGGGGGGAGAGCACCCTCGCCTCCATTATTTACATGCAGCTGGAGCCCCAGCCGGCCAGAGGGAGCCCGCCTGCCCCTGGGGCTCAGAGGGTGTAGGTGTTGCTCATCAGGTACTCCTTGTCGTCCAGGGTGCTCCACACCGGCCCCAGGCTCAGCTGCGGGTTCTTCCGGCAGATCTTGACCAGGAAGAGCACCATGGAGCCCAGCAGGGCAGCCGCCATCAGGGCCAGAAGCACCGCCAGCACCACCGCTGCGGAGGGGAAAGGGTTAAAGTGTCAGGGGAAGTTATTATGAGGCTGCCCGCGTTACCTGGATCCGAGATTGAATTAAGTTAGAAAATGCAGATCTGTTAGATCTGGAAGGACATGCTTATTTGTGGTATAACAAAGGGAAAATACACAAAGGATTTCATAACCATATAATCAGGATATCACTATTCAAAGCGTGGGAGGGAACATAAAGATTAATTAGAACAAAAAAACCCATGGCGGTTGTCTCCAATAGAAGCAACCTCAATAAAACAAATAAATAGGGAAATGGCCTACATATAGAGATCTAGTAACAGAAACAGATTAAAGTTCAAGGAATTTGAAGAGCTCAGAGAACACATCTATGGCTGGTTGCAGCCGAGACTTCTTGGCCCCCAGGAGGAGAAACCAAGAGATGTTGCCTCTTCCCCAGCCACGGCCAGGAGCCGAGATGGCGATTCCTGCCTTTGGGGATGCCCTTCGGACTGGGCCCCCTTACGGCCACTTCCCCAAATGGGAAGCTCCAGAGAGAGGCTGGAGGCAGAGCCAGGAAACCTGCCAGCTGGGGGGGGGGGTAGGAGCAGATGTCCCCAAGCGACAGACCAGAGGGAAAAGGCTTCGCCAGCCCCCCTGGCAAATCTCCTCTGGGTTTCAGAGGCTCCCCCAAACACTGTCCCTTTGCATTTCTTAGTGCAGAAAGTCTTGATCTGATGTGTCGAGGTCTTTCCTATTCTTATTAATTCAAGAGGGTTCTGGAAGCTTCTCTGTTTGAAAGAGGCAAGCAGAAAGCTCCTGATGTTTGGGTTATTCCTTCAGAAAAGGAATACAGCTGGTTTAAAACTGGTCCTGTTATGTCTTTCAGTCAAGGTCGTGCAAACTATAATGGTTAGGCCAGGAGGAGCCTAGGTTCCTCTTTCTCTTTCTGTCTCTTTTCCTTCTGCTGTTCTGTACATTGTATGCTTAAGGTTTAGTCTTATTCTAAGTTATGGCAAGTTTAAGTTAAGTCTGCTGCAAGTGGATTTCTTATGGACAGGGCCAACCTTGAATGTTTTGGATTTGTGACCATTACGCTCCTTTGCCTTCAGTAGCAGTAAAGCTCTGCTGGATGAAATAGAACTGCCTCTGGTCTATTTTTGGGGAATCCTGCAACGTGTTTAAGTTTCTACTCTGCTAACTATATAATTATTATCATTATTAGTAGTAGTATTTATGCCCCGCCCTCCCCAGCCAAGACTGGGCTCAGGGCGGCTAACACCAAGTATAAAAACAATTGATTAAAATACAACTTTAAAAACAAGATTAAAATACAACATTAAAATGCAGCCTCATTTCAGTAGAAACTCAAATCAAAAACTTTTTGGGGGAAGAAAATGTCAAATCTTCACCAAGGCCAACTATATGTCAGAGTTCTGCTCTGGAGCACTATTGAGTAGAGTTTAAACGACAAGCACTCCAGCCCCTGGCCTCCTCATGGAGAGTCAGAGGCCTGGCGCTGCGACCCCCCTCCCGGCACCTACCTCTGGTGGAGTGGATCATGGGGTCCGGGAAGAGGTGGCCGTGCTGCTGGGGTTCCAACGGCTCTTCCGTTAACTCTGAAAAGTGGGGAGACGTGTCAGAATGCAAGGGGAGCCCTGCGGCTGGATCAGGCCCAAGGGGGAAACACTGGGTGCTCCAGCAGGGAACCCCAAAGCAGGATCCGGGCACCAGAGCAACGCTCTCCCCTCCTGGGGTTTCCAGCGACTGGCATTCAGAAGCAGATCCCTTCCTCTGGCTGTGGGGCAGAGCAGGGCCCTTGTGCCCAGGAGCCACGCAGAGCCCTCTCCTCCAGGACAAAGGGCAGCGGGTGAGAAGGGGCTGGGCAACACCCACTGCCTCCCTGCCCTGGGCTGGTTTTGACCTCTAAAGCCTTAAATGGCTCAGGACCGCAATACCTCCAGGACCACCTCTTTCCATATGGGCCTACCTGGACCCTGAGATCATCTTCTGAGGCCCTTCTTCGTGTGCCTCCTCCTTGAGAGGTTCAGGGGTGGCAACACAAGAACAGGGCCTTCTCTGAAGTGGCTCCCCATCTGTGGAATGCTCTCCCCAGGGAAGAGCACCTGGTGCCTTCAATATACACCTTTAGGCACCTGGCAGAAACGCTCCTTTTTAACCAGTCCTTTGGCTGACCTAATCGACATCCCATACCCTTTTAAAATGTGGCTCTTTTTTGGGGGGGGGGTGTTATTGGGCTATTGTTCTTATTTTGATTTATTGTGATCTTTCCCGTGAACTGCCCTGAGCCCTCTGGTACAGAGCGGTATGTAAATTCAGTCCATCACTCCCTGCTCCAGCAGGAGAAGCCACGGGGGGTTGTGAGTCCTCAGAGCCCAGCCCAAATGGAGGCCTGGTGAGGACAGGATCGGGGCCTTCCTGGCAGGTCTCTGGAGGGGAGGAGCGAAGGAAGGAGCTCGAAGCAGCAGCCGGGGGCCGCATTGCCAAATCCAGGAAACCGTGAGTCTTAATAAACGGGACGGCCCACATTCAAGGCTTTGGCAAATGGCCCTCCTGGAACTAATAGGATCGAGAGGGCAGAGCCTGAACGACCGGTTTTCTTGCTCTGTGACAAGGCATGACAAGATACGCCTTCGACAAACACGGAGGCGCATTCAGAGCCACCAGGCCAAGCACCTGGCTCACCTGAGACGATGGAGAACCTCTAATCTCCTTTAGGATGAGACTCCCAGGCGGAGAAGGCTTTTATTTCTATAAATCTTTACTCTTTGCTAAGGGAATTTACTCTGGAGCAGTGCTGGATCTGCGCCCTTTTGTCCCTCCATGACGTGATGCTTCCGTGGTTTAAATTTTCGGTTCCCTTTTCTCTCATTTTGTTAAGTTTATCCTTTTTTCCCTTGGCTAACAAATCAATAAAAGTTTTAAAGAGAAGGGAGTGAAGAGTCTCTGGAACTTTTCCAAATCTCCTTGGATTTTGGGGAGGGGGGAATCTGCCCTTCCACCCTGGGCAAGGATGTGAGCCCTTGGGGGGGGTCTGGCCTGGGTGCCCAGCCTGCCCCTTCTTACCCCCGTCTCTGGCGCACTGCAGACAGTGCTCCTCGTAGTCGTAGTTGTTCTTGTTGCCCCCGCAGCCGCCAAAAATGAACATCTTGCAGGTACGGGTCTCCAGGTCAAAGTGCCAACGAGGGAAGGCTCCGCGGCAGCGCCCAACCTCTGGGGGGGCAGCGCAAAACTCTGGAGGGGGGGAAAGAAAATGAGACTCAGAGGTGCCCTTGGAGAGAGGTCAGAACTGGTGGGGGGCTGGAGTCACCTCTCCCCCTTCGGCTGCCACCCCGCCCCACCCAGTTACCTTGGAAGCCCTTTCGGTCGTCTCCTGGCAGACGGCGGTGGCCGGATCCGGATGCGGCTGTCAGGAAGGGAAGGCAGAGAAAGTCATTCCAGAAGAAGACCTCGCTTTATTGGCCGAGGGAGCCGGCATACAGCTTCCGGGTCATGTGGCCAGCAGGACTAAGCCGCTTCTGCGAACCAGAGCAGCGCACGGAAACGCCGTTTACCTTCCCGCCAGAGCGGTACCTATTGATCTACTTGCACTTTGATGTGCTTTCGAACTGCTAGGTGGGCAGGAGCAGGGACCGAGCAACGGGAGCTCACCCTGTAGCGGGGATTCGAACCGCCGACCTTCTGATCGGCAAGCCAAAGAGGCTCCGTGGTTTAACCCACAGCACCACCCGCATCCCTCTCATTAAGGAGTCTCAAAGCGGCTAACAATCTCCTTTCCCTTCCTCCAGAGTTCAGAGCCCACACTGGACCCTTTGGAAAACTCCTGGACGCCCCTGCGAGGAAGGCCACCCATTCTCGGGGGGTCAGGGTGCCATGAGTCTCCCTGTACAAGGAGGGGCCGGGCACAGAGCTCCCTCCCAGGCCCTGGGGGAAGGCAGCCTCCGCCCCCCCTCCTCCAAGACCTTCTCACCCATATCCTTACCCTTGCTGGTGGGTGCTGCTGCTTCTCCCTCTGTGCCCCCCCGGCCGCCATCTGAAAGCCAAGAGAGAGTGAGTGTCAGCCGGTCGCAGCCAAGACCCCCCAAGGTGGGCCCTGAGCCCGGGGGGAGACTACCAGGACAAAGCAGCTCCTCAGCAAAGGGGAAGGTCATCTTTTCAAGCTCCTGGGGTTGGCAAGAGGGAGACGTAGAGTATGTTCTCCTTCCAATGTGTGAAAAGCAGGAGAGGCTGAAGGAGCGTCTCCACCCCGGACACTGGGGACCCGCTCCTGAGGGCCTTCTGGCGGTCCCCTCCCTGCGAGAAGTGAGGTTGCAGGGAACCAGGCAGGGCCTTTTCGGTAGTGGCACCTGCCCTGCGGAATGCCCTTCCATTAGATGTCAAGGAAATAGGCAACGATCTGACTTTTAGAAGACATCTGAAGGCAGCCCTGTTTTTAATGTGTGATGTTTTATTGTATTTTTAATACAATAATGGCTGGGGAAACCTAGCCAGATGGGCGGGGTAGAAATATTTATTTATTTATTTATAAGCTAGAATTATTCTTATTCTTATTCTTATTCTTATTCTTAAGCCAGAAAGTGCACCTCACCAGAGGTGCCTGGCAGACTTTGGAAGAAACATCTTCCATTTCATTTGGGTCTTGCCTGAACGGGGATCTCTAATGGACCTCCAGTCCACCTGGGGGCTTGCAAATCATCGCGGTTGTTGTGGTTGTATTTATTTACTGTACTTTTCCGTGTATAAGACTAGGTTTTTTTCTGATAAAATAATGTTGAAAATTGGGGGCCATCTTATACATGGATAGTGTAGAGTGGAAATTTTCTTAATTTTGAGTCCCCCAAAATAGGGGCGTCTTATACATGGGAAAATACGGTATATCCCGCCTTTATCCCTATCCTGCCTTTGTCTCCAGCAGGGACTCAACACGGCTTACAGATAAAGTGGAACCATAAGGATGAAACAATTAAACATTAACAGAATAAAAAGTGTATCTGTCTGTCTGTCTGTCTATCTATCTGGCATGGGTCAATTCAATGTCAGCTGTCTCCTAGCTCCACGCACCCTCCCTGCCCGCGGACTGTCTCACCAGAGTGGTGCATGCTCTGGTTATCTCCCGCTTGGACTACTGCAATGCGCTCTATGTGGGCCTACCTTTGAAGGTGACCCGGAAACTGCAATTAATCCAGAATGTGGCAGCCAGAATGGTGACTGGGAGTGGCCGCCGAGACCACATAACACCGGTCTTGAAAGACCTACACTGGCTCCCAGGACGTTTCCAAGCTCAATTCAAAGTGTTGGTGCTGACCTAAACAGCCTCCGCTGACTCCCCATTTCAGATTTTATTTGATTTTATATTTGTATTCCACTTTCCCAACAACAAATGTTGAGTTTAAGCGGCTCATATTAGCGTTAAAAAAAATCTGTAATAACAAACAGCAGCTTATAAAGCAAACAACCATTGCACCCATTTTTTAAACCAGGCTTCCTCAACCTCAGCCCTCCAGATGTTTTGGGACTACAATTCCCATCATCCCTGACCACTGGTCCTGCTAGCTAGGGATCATGGGAGTTGTAGACCAAAAACATCTGGAGGGCCGTGGTTGAAGAAGCCTGGTTTAAATTGTTTTTATTGGTGGAATTGTTTTTAAATGTTTGTACATTTTTACATACGGATTGTTGCAAATTGATTTTTAAAACCCTTGTTTCATGATTTGCAGCTGTTTTCATTTGTGCGTATATCGTTGCAACCTGCTCTGGGACCTTTTGGTGGCCAGTGGGTAAGAAATCTAATTATATATACACATATAACAATTAATACAATTAATTTTAGTTGTAAACAACTAAAAACTTTGGCAGGATCAGAGTAATGCTTGTAATATACAAAAATAAAATAAATGGAAAAATGGATAACATTCCAAGAGCAAATAAGAGAAGCAGATGGAAAATTGGGTTGATAATGGTAACCATGGAAGGGCAGAGGGAAGTCAAGGGACAGGAGGTGACTGGTGTGTTTGAATTTAAATGTCATGCAAAACTTAAAAAAAATATTATTAAAAAAATGTAATGCAATTCTGTAAAGTCAGACGATTCACTGTGCCAGAACACCCCCACCCCCCACTCACCTGCAGCGCAGATCTGGCGACACTTGTCGGCCGAGACAAAATTGTTGGCGTTTCCCCGGCAGCCGCCGTAGATGAACTCCTGGCAGGCCTGGCTGGAGGCGTTGAACCACCAGCGGGGGAAGGCAGCCCGGCAGCGTCCCACCACCTTGGGCAGGTAGCAGTCGTCTGGAAGGAAGCAGAGGGGCCAGCAGGCTCAGTGGCTATTGCGACAAGGAGGGGACATATCCAGAGGAGAGGGGGGAGGCTGAGGGCGCTGGAGCAGGACCTGGGAGACCAGGATTCAAATCCCCGCTTCAGCCAGGAAGCTCACTGGGTTCAGCTTTATTTCCCCCCAAAAATGGGGAAGGGCCTGAAAGTTTCGGGAGAGGCTGCTATCATAATTCTCGCAGCGATTCAGTGCAGTGTCTTATTTGCTGGCGCTCCAGTAGACCTGCAATTTTTAATTTTTGTGTTCTTCGCTGCCAGCTGCCTGCCGTGCAACCTGCTTTGGCCGACCTGCCCTTGAAACAGCCAAAGTGAAGAAAGGAGAAAAACTTCCTCCTTCTCCAGCCCAGGAACTTGGCGCGACTCCAACCCCGCGGCAGCAAAATGAGGCACCGGGGAGAGGAGGCAGGATGCGCACCCCACAGGCAGGGGGCGCTCCAAAGCAGCTGCACCCTCTCCGCTAGGGAAGATGGCAGCTCCAGGCCCAGAGGTGCAGACTCTGCTGGCAGCTGCTCCTGAGCAGGGGAGAGGATGTCCCCATTGCATCAAGCGAGACGCCAATGCCCAACATTCCCAGGCGGTCGGGGGTTTCAATTAACTCTGCTCCGCCTCTGGTGCCCAAAGGGCCACCAGAGAATTTGTGGTGTTTGCCACCACAGGCCGAAAACGCTCTCCCCCTGGATGGCGACGTCACAAAGTCAGAGCTGCAGGATGATGGCACAGCTGGTGGCGCAGCCGTGCGAGAGAAGCCGCTTTTCCTGGGTCTCTTTCGTGGGGAAGGGGGACCCCCACCCACACCAGAAGCTGCCTCCCGCAGAGTCAGGCCACTGGTGCGCCTTGCTCCCTGCACTGACCGGCAGAGGGGTGGCTCCCTGCCCCACCTAGAGGGGCGAAGGGAAAATGAGCGTGGGACCTGGCACCCCAAGGGGGGGGGTCACAGCATGATAAATCCATTGGTGTCAAAGGCGACACAAGACTGTTCTTTTCCTGATGGAATGTACTTAATGAATAAAAGGCTTTTTGCTAATCCAGACAGACAGACAGACAGATATATTTAACCAGTGAGTCACTACGAGAAATACGATAGCAGCTGCTCCCAAAACTTTCAGGCCCTTCCCCATTTCGGGGGGGAAATACAGCTAAACCCAGTGAGCTTCCTGGCTGAAGCGGGGATTCGAATCCTGGTCTCCCAGGTCCTGCTCCAGCCCTCTCACCCAGGGCCGGATTGAGGTTTGATGCGGCCCTCAGCTACTGAAGGTAATGGGGCCCTTGATATGTCCAGCTGTCCCTTGTCGACAGCAAATTGTCGCTGGTTTTTGGTGTTGAATATACGCTATATGGTCATTTATGGACCTCAGAGGTATCTCAAGCCATTTGCACATAACAAATAGAAGCCTACACAACACAAATCACTGCTGCTGTATGTAGGTTTATTTTATTTGTTTTTTTATCCTATATTTTGGAAATGTACATCCAGGGGTTTTTTATTCCCTCTAAATTTTTCTGGCCCCCAACTGAGTGGGGCCCTAAGCTACAGCTTGTTTAGCTTATACGTAAATCCGGCCCTGGATGGATAGATAGATAGATAGATAGATAGATAGATAGGTAGATACTGCTCTTTCCCTCTTTCCCTGACTGCTCCAGCTGCCCATCTCCAACTGACGCCCAACAGCCAACACAATCGGCCAACTGGCACCCATTTCTGGAGCCCTCCGTGAACCAAAGTCACGGCCTCCACAGGAAAGGTGCTGTTTTTAAACAGGAGTCAACCACATTTTGGGGCGGACGATTCCCATTTGCTTCTCCCACAGATAAGCCAAGTTTGCACAGCTACCCAGAGAGTATCTGCTTCCTGTTTATGCTACTGGAGTTTTCTGCTTGCTCTCTAACTTAGGAGTTAAATGTAGATCTAAATATGGACCTGGGCGGCCCTTTGGAGTTAATCTGTTCTCAGGCTCACAGTGTGTTTGTTTTCATAACATTCCTAGCTATTAAAAGATAAAAGCTCAACAATAAAAGAAGGGAGAGAGCGGAGTTCAAGGCTTTGCTGCGGCACAAAGAGAGGGAAAGTGTGCCTCTGAGCATACGCAGGCTGCGTTCCCTTAGCCCGGCCCCCAGGATGACGCTCCAGGCAAAACTCTCCTCCTCCCTTTGTGGCAAAGCAGCAGCAACCTCAAGAGCACGTTCTCCAGTCACTGGCAAAACTCTTCACATGGGCAGAGGCACAGCTGCCCTCCTGCTGGGAAAGGAGGGCTGCCCTAGACTACGGTGGAACCCCAGTCTGCCCGGGGGGGGGGGCAAAGGGAGTCAATTCCTCCCTCCATGCGAAGCAGTCGGGGGGGTGTCCTTTTGCAGAGGCCACATCAGGGAGAATTCTCCCTTCTACACGCCGGGCAGCTGTCCCAGGGGCTCAGCTCAGTTGGGTCACCCTCAGAGAAGACATGTTCAACCCGTCGACAGGTAGATCCTGACTGATCTCAGGATTAAATGAAGTGGACAATTAATGTCCCCACCAGATAGGCATGTAATGACTAGATTAGAATGGTTTTATTTGTAGATGTGTGTTTTTGGTTGCTGTTGTTGTTTTGTTCTTTTTTCTTTTGTGTTCTGTTCTCCCCCCCTTGTTTGTACTGTTTAATTTCGGATTCAATGTTTGTAATTTTAGTTGTAATTTTGCATTGAAAATAAAAAATTTAAAAAGAATTTTAAAAAGAATGTCCGCCCCCCTGCCAAATGGGGGGGGGGAGGAGGGAGGGCGGCGGACTGTTGTGAGCAATTTTTTGCATTCTCCCCTCCCCTATCAAAAGCTCAACAACTCTTTGCAAGGACAATGGGTAGATAACTGCCTCTTTTTTTAATACTGGGAGTATAACGCAGTCTCTTGGGAGCTGGACGTGTCTGTCATAAAGGAAGGGGATGTAGAAGGAGAGAAAGAATCCGAATAAAAGCAATTACTGAGCAAAATGTCTCTCAACGTCCAAGGAGACAATATTAATTTAACAGCTTAAACTTTAATAAGTCCTCTTCTTAGGAGATGCTGGAAGAATTTAGGGGGCGTCTTTTAGGATTATTACTGACATATTTATTTGTACTCCGCCATTTCCCCCGCGAGGAACTCAAGGCCGCTTACGGGTGAAGACAAGAACAGCTCAAGTTCTCTGGCAAACTGGCCCAACAAAGCCTGGCCATAAAAAAGCACTTGTGGAAAAATCAGATCATAAAATGAAATTGGCCCAAGGCCTGAAGCACAAAGACTCTTCTGTGACTGAATCTCACAGCTTCATGATGCAAGTGGCAAGGCCAAGGAATGAAAATCAGAGGACACCCTTCACAGCAGAAAACCTTTTCGGCTAACTTAAAATTGTTTATCGCCTTCTGTACAAACAGTCGTTTGGGGAGAAGAATTTGCGTCATTCAGCTGTTATTTCGCATGTATTGCCTTAGAATCACCTTCTGGGTTAGGATGGGATATTCCACTATTTATCCGTGCCGTGTGATGCTGTTCTATGTTGAAAGAATTAGATTTTTTAAAAACCAAACTATGCTGAAACGGCAAAACTGACTAGGAGACTCAGGAATCAAGAAGATAAGGACTTTAAAAAAAAATGGGGGGAAATTATAGTTTACTTAGGAGACCATTGTAATCAAATAAAAACGCTGGCTGGACGGTAAAAAACCCCTAATATGGACAATTTAGAGAATGAAAAATGTGGAGAATGTAATGAGATGCAGGGGGTAAGTCATGAGATTCAGAGAATCTCATATATGGATATGGTAAAAGTTTTTCCTTTTTATTATTGCGGATTTGTTTTTGTAAAAAAAAATTACAAAAGTGATTTATTTTTATTTTTTAATTAAGAGAAGGGGGCAGTCCTGTTCTACTCTTTTGCCGGTTTAAGGAAGGTGAGCGGGACATGGAAGGAATAACCAATACCCCACTACCAGGGTTGCTGGAAGACAAACTTGCAACGTTAAGGATTTGTACCTTTTAATATTTATTTTAAAATTTGTGATTAAGTGAAACGTAAATGGGAAAATGTATAAATGCTGTGAAGTAATAATGAATTATGGCAACCGTATGGGGGGGGAGTCGAAGCTCGATTGAGCAAATATGTAATGAGCACAATAAGGATTTGTTTAAATGTAATAAAATGGAAACTTAATAAATATAGTAATAAAAATAATAATAAAAAGGAAGGGTGCCCCCTCCCCACCAGGAAGTCTGGCCTCCATGGGGCAGAGAGCGAACTCCGAGCCAGACGGGCCCCATGGCCTGGTGATTCAGGGAGAGCAGCTCCGGTGACCTCACCACAAACAGGCTGAACCAGTTTGAGACTGGCTGCCCAGCCCTGCGGAGCCCAGGAGATCAGGTTCCCTCTGCACCCGGTCAGGCCAGTTCAGGAGGAGGAGGCAGCCTGGGAGCCTGACCCAGAAAGGCTGTTCTCTTTGGCCCACAAAGCAGGGAAGGGAGGATTCTCTCTCCTGGCTAAGAAAACAAAGAGCTCTCTGGACCAGGCGCAGCCTTGTGCTGCGGGGGTGGGACTGGATGACCTCTGGAGTCCCTTGCAACTCTCCACTTCTGTGATCTTGCCCCCTTGGGTCCAGGGAGCACAGCCTCAAAATCCCATCTCGGGCTGGCAGGCAGGAAAGAGCTTTCCGGAAATAAAACAAAAGCAGCCAGGAGTTCTGCAGGCAGACAGGTGTCCTGTCCCAGGTAATGCCCAAACTGGCAAGAGTGCCAGGGGGCACAACACCAGGCCCATTGTGCCATCACTGCCTCTGCCGATCCGGCTTTTGCTCCCACACTCGGGACCCAGCTCCTCCCGCCACGAGGGGCAAACCCAGCCAGATGTATAGATAATAAATGATGATGATGGTGATTGTAAACAGACAACTTCCTCGACTTGAAGAGCAAACACGATCTGGGCAGCAGGCCAGCCTCCTGGAGCAGCCCAGGGCGAGGGGGGCAGCTCAGTCCCCTGGCACAGACCCCCCCCCCAGCCAGCCATCCAGTCCCTCTATGGGGCCGGCCCCTGTCCAGTGGGGTCTCTCTCCTCCCAGCCCTCCCGCCTCCCACGCCTCGCGCAGAATCCGCACCTGGCACCGAGGGACTGAACCAGGAAGAAGGGGCACACGCGGGGGGGGGCTTGGCAAACACCCTGGGCAGAGAGAGCGCTTCCTCCTCCTCCTCCTCCTCCTCCTCCGGGGGGGAGGGGAATCTGCCCACCTGCGCCGCCGGGAAGCCGCGCCCCGCCTGTCCCCTCCCTCCCCCCGGGGGGCTCCCCTTCCCAGCCCAATGGGGCCACCCCCGAGCGGGCCCTATAGAGGACCAGGGCGGAGGGAGGGAGGGCCGGCCAGGGATGGGACCCCCCCACCCCAAAAAAGACAAGGGATCGGGCAGCCATTGTCCCTCGGGGAGGGGGAGGGGCCCAAAGAGAAGCCCCGCCCCCTTCCGGGGGGGAGGCCGGCAGTTGACGGCGCCCCCCCAAAAAAAACAAATCAGGAGGGAAAGAGAGAAAGAAAGAAAGAGAGAAAGAGAGAAAGAGAGAGAAAGAAAGAAAGAAAGAAAGAAAAAAAGAAAGAAAGAAAGAAAGAAAGAAAGAAAGAAAGAAAGAAAGAAAGAGGACCCCCCGGTCTTTCTTTCTGTGATCCCCCCCCTCACCTGGCAGCGCCTCGGCGGCGGCGCCCAGCACCATCGCGGCCATCAGGATCAGCCCCGCGCTGCGCCCCATCCTGGCCGCCTGCGAAGCCCCAACTGCGCACGTCGCGCCCGCCGCCCCCGGACCCCGCAGGTGAGCCCCGCCCCGCGCCCGGGCCGCCAATCGCCGCGCCCCACGTCACAAGGGAGGGAGGGGCCAGCCACGCCCCTCGGCGCACCTGCACCTGGGCGGCCGCGCCCCTCCGGCTGCTGCCGGCCCGTGTCCGGCGCCATCGGGTCCTGCTGCCGGGGTTTGCTGGGGGGATCCCCGCGGGAAGAAGGCGCCCCCGAAGCAGCACTCCGGGATCCCGGCGGTGGGGCCGGCGGAGGGGAGACAACGGCAAGGGGGCGCGGGGGGGGGGCAGCGCGTAACTACTACTACTACTACTACTTGGCGATCCCTCGTAGCCTAGTAAGATTGTCTTCCCTGAACAGGGTCTTAACAGTGAGTCCTCAAGAGACTGGCAGGCATGTCCAAAGTTCCTTTCCGGGGCCTAATCCGGCCCGCCCGTCGGTTTCATTCGGCCCCTCTGGCAGTTTATTTCCTGGGGTAAAATCCTCAACAACTTCAATCCTACAAAAAGCTCGACAACTTTGCTTGGCCCTTTGGTCAGCCCTCCCGGCCCTTCTCTTCATCCAATCTGGCCCTCTTTGGGAAAAGGTTGGACGCCACTGGACTATGGCGTCTCCGGGAAATTCCGGAAATATGGCAGTCCTCATTTATATGCTGGTTGTCAGTTTATTTTTTCAACCTGGGTCATATTCCACTTTGGAGATGGGTTTCCCATCTGGCTATGGTGAGTCTGATTTTTCTTCTCCTTCTTTGGCAATCTTCTTTAGCCAAGTAAGATTGTCTTCCATGAACACGGTTTTAACAGTGAGTCCGTAAGTGACTTTGGAGGCCAATTCTGCATCCCCACGTCCTTCCACAGTGGGGACATTGGTTTCCAGGCGGGAGCTGATCACTGTGTGGATTTGCCAAGCGCACCTTCCTCTTAGCACACTTCTCCCTTATGTCCTGAGTTCGAGTGTCTTCAAAGCCCAGGGCACCTTTGGTCAAGGCTGTTCTCCAACTGGAGCGCTCGCAGGCACCAGTGTTTCCCAATTGTTGGTGTTTATACTACATTTTTAAAGATTTGCCTTGAGAAAATCTTAAAACCTCTTTTGTTGACCACCAGCATTACGCTTTCCATTTTTAAGTTCAGAATAGAGTAGTTGTTTTGAAAGAAAATAATCAGGCATCCAGACAACATGACCAGTCCAACGAAGCTGATGTTGAAGAATCATTGCTTCAACACTGGTGATCTTTGCTTCATCCAGTATACTGGCATTAGTTCTCCTGTCATCCCAAGTGATGTGTAAATTTTTCGGAGACACCGTTGATGCAATCTTTTGAGGAGTTGGAGATGGCGTTTGTAAGTGCTCCGTGTTTCACAAGCATACAGTGCCACCACGTGGCTTGGAGAGAGTGGAGGGGAGCGTTGCTGTCCCTCTCTCAAAACCGCAGGAGGCCGTGGGGTCGGACATTGGAGCTGGATGCCAACAGGGCTGAGGAAAAGGAATTAAACTGCAGAACTCACTGCCACAGGATGCAGGGACGGCAGCCCACTGGGGTGGGGGGGGACAAATTCAGGGAGGAAGAGAAGGCTATCAATGACTGCTGGCCAAGATGGCTTGCCTCTGGCTCCAGGGTCCTTGGAGGCAGCAGTTCTTCTGAAGGCCGGCTGCCATGATCCACGGGGCGGGGTGGGGGGGTGGGGGACTGGGACTGACTGGCTGTAATGGGAAAGTCTTGCTTCCAGACTTCCCATTAGGGCACCTGGCTTAGATGTTTCGATTATTTACATTTCACATTTCGGGAACAAGGCCAGATTTAGATTTTATGAGGCCCTCAGCTCCTGAAGGTAATGGGGTCCTTTCTAAGTCCAGCTGTCCTTTGCCAACAACAAATTGTCAGTGTTTTTGGTGTTGAATATATGCTAGATGGTCATTGATGGCCCTAAGCTATTTGCACATAATAGATAGGAGCCTACACAGCACAAAACACTTTTGCTGTATGTAGGTTTTATTTTATTTGTTTTTTATCTTATATTTCAGAAATGTACATCCAGGTGTTTTTTCCTTTAATTTTTTGGGGCCCCCCCAAGAGAGTGGGGCCCTAAGCTATACAGTGGTACCTCTGGTTACAAACACTTCTGGTTATGAACGCTTCAGGTTACGAGCTCCGCTAACCCGGAAGTAGCTGCTTCTGGTTGCGAACTTTGCCCCAGGATGTGAATGGAAATCGCGAGTCGGAGATCTCATTAGCGAAAGCATGCCTCAGGATAAGAACTGTTTTAGCTTAAGAACGGACCTCCAGAATGAATTAAGTTTGTAACCAGAGGGACCACTGTAGCTTGTTTAGCTTATACGTAAATCTAGCACTTTTTGGGATACAGATCTTTCCCAGGTGGCTTCAAACAGCAAAGAGGTCTCCACGAAATCTTAATAACTGTATCTAGAGCAAGGGGTCAGCATCCTGGGGCAGTTGGCGCTAGAAGGTCCTGTTTTGGGGCAGGGGGAAATCCTGGTGTCCTCCTCTTCTTGGTCACCTCCCTCTCCTCCCTTCCTCTGATGGTGTTTTGCTTCTATGGAAAGCACTTTGGACAAAGTGCTTTTGCAAATGAAAGGAACAATTGAACAGAAGAGAGGGGGAAATTCAGCTTGGAGGGCCCCCTGCCCCCAATAGGATAAGAAGGACCACGGCAGAGAGGGAGGGAGGGAGGGAGTTGGCTGGGCCTAAAGATTTTGGTCTGTGGTTCAGAGGAATTATGCCAGAATGACGCCGCAATGTCAGGGAAATGCCAAAAGCCCCTTCGGAGTTTCTGCCTGTTGTGTTGATTCCCAGGGCTGGAGGTCCAAGAAGAGGATTTCCCCTTTTGGAACTGGTAAGTGGTGACCCTTCCCTGTGGAAACGCAGGAAGCTGCCTTGCACCAGACGTGGCCCAAAGGACAGCAGAGCAGGACACTGGCCATCGTCTGGGCTGCAGGAGTTGCCAGAAGGAGGCGTACCGAGTGCAACCCAATCAGGCTGGGTGCAAATAATAAAATTAGCAGAATGAAAGACAATACAAGAAACGTAATTAATTTAATAGAGTATTTGGAAGTAAGAAAGGAAAAATAGGCTGCATTGATCATTCTAGATGCGGAGAAAGCTTTTGACAATATTTTGTGGTCATTTATGAACAAGGTTTTAGAGAAAATGGAAATAGGTAATTCTTTCCTAGCAGGAATTAAAGCAATCTATGCAGATCAATCTGCAAATATATTAATAAATAATATTTTTTCAGACAAATGCCAAATAGAAAAAGGAACGAGACCAGGCTGTCCCCTGTATCCACTGTTGTTTATTATGACATTAGAAATATAAGGAGAAATAGGAAAATTAAAGGTCTTGAGGTGGGACGTGGAGTTTATAAATTAAGAACATTTGCTGATGATGTGGTGCTGACACTAGAACAACCTTGGGAGAGTGTTCCCAAAGCATTAGAAGAAATTAAAAGGTTTGGAGAAGTGGCAGGTTTTGTGGCTTGTTTTTTTTTTGGTATATAATTTTTATTAATTTTCCAATAAAAACAAATTTATAACAATTAAACATTAGGAATTCATCACACGTCTTTTTTCTTTTAGACTTCCATCAACATGTCTGATAATTTCCCGTAGTTATTACATATCTTCACATTTCTTCATTTATATTGCACTATGGATATCTTATCTTACCATGTTATTTAAACAATATTTCTACCAAACCTTCTTACAGAGCTTCTTGGAAACTTACAAACGTTATATCATTATCACAAAGAGAAGTGGCAGGTTTTAAAGTAAATTCAGATAAAACCAAAATGTTGTTTCAAAACATGGATGAGAAGTTGAAATTTTTTAAAGAAAGGATGTTTGATCTAAAAATAGGCAAAAAAAGTTAGGTATTTGGGAATTTGATTGACAGTAAGAAATCTCATCCTGTTTGAAAATAATTATATTAAATTGTGGAAAGAAATTAAGAAAGAGTTGGATATATGGGGAAGAATGAAACTCTCCCGTGTTAGGTAGAATTTCAGCTATTAAAATGAATTTATTGCCTTGGATGCTGTTTTTATTCCAATCAATCCCAATTGTGAATAATTTAAGCTGCTTCAATGAATGCCAAAAAGATATCTCAAAATTATCTGACGGGGAAAAGCCAAGAATTAAACATAAAAGTATGATAGATACAAATGAAAGAGGAGGCTTTGCTCTGCCAGATTTGCAAATGTATTTTGAGGCAGCTTGCCTGTGTTAGTTAAAAGAATGGAGTGTATTGGATAATGCAGACATCTTAGATTTAGAGGGTCAAGATTAAAAATTCGGCTGGCATGCATGTCTGGTATGGGAAGGCTAAAATCTGCAAGAGTTTTATGAACCACATTCTTATTAAGAAAATATAAATATATATTTCTTAGGAGAAATATAAAAATCTGCTGGAAAGAAAAACACCTTTATGGCTATCTCCCATTTGAAGCAATCACAATTAAGAGAGTTAATATGGACAGACAATGTACAAGCAGTCAAGTACAACATTCCTTGTTTTCCTAGAGTGGACATGCGGGGGAATGTTTGGTCCAGCCAGTGGAAAACTTCCTGTTTCCTCCTGGCTGGGACATACGTCCTTTGCATGTGACTAGAGGTGGGCGTGACCTTACCTGTCCAGGTGACAAAAGGACAAGGCATGCTGCCACACTCTCTCTTTTTGACTTCCTCTGTCATTGGAGCAGCTTTTTAGCTAGAAATGCCCTTTTGTCTTTCAGCCGACAAAGGACACTGGGATTATCCCCATATGGGACCGATCCACATGTATATCCTTTGTAACTAAGTCTGCTTTCAGGGATCCAACTGTGAACTGATGATGTGAGTAAACCTATTTTATATACTTGACACAAGACTGTGGTGTGTTTATTCTTTTAAGAGGGACATAAGGGAACTTACCAGGAACCTAATAGTGAGAGGCTTACACAAGCCTGCAACCGATTGTCCACTGTGTGTTTAAAAGAGGAATATGAAAGTCTGCAAAGTAAAGGAAATTGCTAGCACAAGTTAAAGATAAAGGGACCCCTGACCATCAGGTCCAGTTGCGGACGACTCTGGGGTTGCGGCGCTCATCTCGCTTTATTGGCCGAGGGAGCCGGCGTACAGCTTCCGGGTCATGTGGCCAGCAGGACTAAGCCGCTTCTGGCGAACCAGACCAGCACACGGAAACTCCGTTTACCTTCCCGCCGGAGCGGGACCTATTTATCTACTTGCACTTGGACGTGCTTTCGAACTGCTAGGTTGGCAGGAGCAGGGACAGAGCAACGGGAGCTCACCCTGTCCCGGGGATCCGAACTGCCAACCTTAAAATGACAGAATATGCACAACTTGCAGATTTAACATATAGGATAAGAGAGCAAGAAGAACATAGGTTTAAAGAAGATTGGAAAACGTTTATTGACTATATGGAAAATACTTATGCAGCTCAAAACGCTGGCAGCATCAACAGAGTAAATAATTTCTGATGGAAGTAAAAGTGGAAAAATGATTTGAATAGTTATAGTAAAATATGCAGGGATGTATGATATGCAAAATGAACCATGGAAAGAGAAGAAGGGACGTCACTGGATATTTCAGAGTTTGTAAAATGTTTATTTGGAAATATAAAATTGAAAATTCAATAAAAATTATTATAAATAATAATAAGATTAGTCCCAGTAGTCTTAATGCAAGGTGCCATTCAACCGTCTCAGGGACCCCACTCCAGAAATATGCAGCTTTTATTCCTTAGCCTTTTCTTCTTCTGGAAAATCCCACAAGGCAGCCGAGGTTTAGGATGCGAGTTTTATTTCCTTCTCCTAAATGGGCTCTAAGGAAATGTTTGGAGTCACAAAGAGAGCCAAGATGGCTTGTTTGGGATTGTTCTGTGTGCTAAAAGTGTAGTTTTCTTAGGGAATATTTCCTAAAATCCGAAGGGTGAAGGGTTGGTTTTCTGTGGGCTGTGTGTTTGCTATTTGTGCACCCCGAAATTTTGTAACAGCTCTCCGTTCCCCGGATGAGGAGCCCCATCTGCAGCCCGTGGGCGTCACGTTGGCAAGAAGGACCAGAACAGGCAGAGGAGCTGCGCGTCTCCCTCCCTCCCTTCCCTCCTTCCTTCCTTCCTGCCCAGCTGTCTGGTTCAGAAGGGGGTCGGGGAGACCCACGCCTCTCCCGGAGGAGGCCCCCACCTCCCGGGCTGCTCCCCCCCCCCGCTCTTTCGCTTCCCACAGGGCAGAACTCAGCTGCTGTGAGCAATTGTGGGGATGGGCAAAGCACGGAGACCCCCGCTCAAGACCCCCCTCACATCCCCTAGAGTGGTCTCACCGTCTTCCCACTCCCCCATCCCCAAATCATCCTTTGCCCTCTACTCCAACCCCGCCTTCTCCCCCCACCCCTTCCCAAGGGCTGGGTACCCATCACCCCAAACTCTCGGCTCCCAGTTCAGAAGGACCCAAAGAAGAAAGGGGCCAAAAAGTCTTTTATGCACCTTCCCTGTTGAGGAATCCCGCGCCATGAGATGATGGGCAGCCTTAAAGGACAAATGCACGGAAGAAAGGCATATATTTGGGGAGGGGGCTGCATGGAGCCTCCATGTCCAGGGCAGCCTACCTGCCAAGAGGGCAGCCTCTTCGAGGCATCTGGCTGGAGACTTCCCCGCGCAACGGGACGCTGAGCCTTCGGGTCTCCCTGGCGGCGCGCAGCCTGGCTTGGACGGGGCCGGCCGGGAGGTGGCGCTGGGGGGCCGCCCGCCCCGTCCGGGCCCGCCGTGGGGCGGGGAGCCATGCCGCCCTTCCCCGCCCCGCCCGCCCGCCCCTCGCCCGCTATAAGGCGCCGTGGGGCGGCGGGCGCCCCGTCGGGCAGCGGCGGCGGCGGCGGTGCGAGCGATGGCTGCGAACCGGGTGGGGCGGCGCCTGGGCCGGGCTTCGCCGGCGCGCCCGGCCGGGCTGTCTCCGGGGGGCGGCCGCGCGGCCGAGAGGACGCCCAGCCCGGGCATCCAGCGGCGCCAGGCGAGGGTCACCGTCAAGTACGACCGGCGGGAGCTGCAGCGGCGCCTCGACACCGAGAAGTGGATCGACGGCCGCCTGGAGGAGCTCTACCGGGGACAGGTGAGCGGGCCGAGGGAGGCGAGGGAGGGGGACGCCCGCCCGCCCGCCCCGTCGGAAGCCTCTCGGGGAGACTCCACGGTTCCTCCGGCGCGGCTACTGATGCCGCTGCCTCGACAGAGGGGCAAGGAGGGGCAGGATCCGGACTGCCATCTGGGGAAAGAGGCGCATCTGGTGAGGGGCTGGAGGCGGGGGTCTTCTGCCGTCCTCCCTGGGGAGCGAGGGGCCCGGCATGAGGCGGCGTGTGGGCTTAGCATCCGAGGAGCGTAGAGCTGGAAGGGAACTCCAGGGGTCATCGAGCCCAACCCGCTGCTTCCAAGGAGGCTCACGCACGGAAGAAGGCTTTAGGGTCGGGCCAAAGAGATGCTCCCAGCTCAGAAGTTGCCGAGAGGGAACCATGGGCAACACGAGAGTGGCAGCAGAATCCTCTCGCGGAAGAAGCAGGGCTCATTTAGCCTGCGGAACTCCCAGCCACTGCGTGGGCTCTTTGTAGGTCACCGGGAAGGAAGTCGCTGTTTCCAGGAAGCCTCAGGATGGAGCTGCTCGCCCTGACCCAGCTGCCCCCACTTTCCTGGCCATTGCTGGGGCAGCAGCTCGTGGGTCTGAGCCCCCCTTTGGGCAAAAGATTCCTGCATTGCCCGGGGTTGGAGCAGACGGGGTCCCTTTTCACACTACAGGTCTGTGATCCTTTCTCTTCCTGTGCTAGGGATCTGTGATCCAGCCAGGCCTGCTCCTCTCTTGCCCCAGATGCCATCGCCCGGCTGTGTGGCATCCCTGAAGCTGGAGCAGGTCGGCTGCAGCCCCTTCTCCCTCCTGGCCCCCCTGGGGGGCTGCAGCCCCTTCTCCCTCCTGGCCCCCCTGGGGGGCTGCAGCCCCTTCTCCCTCCTGGCACCCCTTCCATTTTCCTCTCCTGCCATCCCAATATTTCTATGTGGCTTTCCGATGGGCAGAATCCCCATTAATCTCGCCAAATCCCTTTCTTGATCTTTCTTGATTACTTGCCCTCGGGCAGGATTAAGGCACTGCCCAAGACATATGGTGCCAGGATGTGAAATGGGGGGAGAGGGTCTCAGCTCAGGGGCAGGGAACTGCCAAGGCCCCAGGCAGGACTGGGGGAACCAGAGAGCCCTGCCCAGTCCCAGCAAGATGCGGCAGCCGGTCAGATTCTGGCGAAGGAAGCTGGCCTGCCTTGTTTATTTATTCCTTGCATTTATTTCCCAACTTTTTCTCCAAGGAGCTCAAAGTGGGGCGCGTGGTTCTCCTCCCCATCTATTATTATTATTATTATTAATAATAATAATAATAATATAATATACCACCCTATACCCAGGGGTCTCAGGGAGGTTCACAAAATAAAATCAAGATATAAAACCACAAAATACATAATAAAAATAATTACAACAACCCAATTCCCCCCCAACAGAAAAACACATTTTAAAAAGGCATAGGGTATATCCCTGCAACAACCCTGTGAGGCAGGCTAAGCTGAGAGATGCAGTGATTTGTCCCCCAAGTCACCCAGTGAACTTAATGGCTGAGTGGGGCTTTGACCCCTGGTCTCCCAGGTCCGACTCCAACCACTATGCCACACTGTCTCCCTCTGCACCGTCTCCTAATGGGAATCCTTTTCTGCTCTGATTTGGCTGGAGAGTCTGGATCCTTCCTTCCTTGGTGGCCCTTCTTTCATCCAGGCCTTTCTTCTCCTGTGGATCCCACATTGCACCCCCCACCCCCACATGCGCAGGCCCCTGCCCACCCGTCATGGGGCTGGTCTTGCTTGCCCATCCCCTCTCTCTCCCTCCTCTGCTGCCACCCCACCTCAGTCCAGCTCCTCTTGGAGGGGCCCCTGCCTGCTCTTGGTGCCTCCCCATATTCCAGAGCAATGAAAGGCAGAATCAGAACTCGGGTCCCTTCCCAGACCCCTCTGGAAGTACGCAAGGATGCTGCCCCTGTGATTAACAATAAGAGCAACAAAAATAATTAAGACCATTTCTGTGCTGCTCTTGGAGGCGACCTGGAGCTATTGACTTTGCCTTTATTAATTGAATTAATATCCTGCCCTTCATCCCAAGCCCACAGGGCGGTTTGTCAGTGGGCATCTCCTCCTCCTGTCCCCCCCCTCGAAGGGGCTGCTTTGGGGTGGCTTGCGGGGGGGGCAGACCTCAGCTGGTCCCACGAAAGAGTGGCTTTTCAAGAGGAAGAGAATGCATTCCTGCAGCCTGAGGCCTGGGAGGGAGCGAGTGGGGGGCGGGGGGGGGGCGGAGAGGAGCCAGACCCATCTATAAAAGAGGCGCCCGCAACCCTGCCATGAAAGGAAAGTTTCCAGCCCGGCTGGCTTGGCGCATCCCAGGGGAGTTGCAGCGAGAGGAGCAGGACTCAGCTGGCCGGCGAATTCTGCAGCCGCGCAGCAGTGGGGGGGACGGGACACAGCAGCGTTTGCCCCCGCCTTGCCTGCAGGCCTCCCCCCGAACCCCTTTGCTCAGGTCAGGACGCCCGGGGAGGCTGCAGCTACTGGGGCAAGTGATGGGGAGAGCTGGTTCTCTGGCGGCCGCCCTGGCTGAGCCCAGTGGGAAGCGCTGCTGATCTTGGGTTGGCTTCCAGGGCTGTCTGCAGGCGTGTCAACAGCTCAGGCCTCCGATCAGGAGCCCGGCAGTGCAGGTCTGTCCGGTTGGCCGGCAGAGGAGGGAGGAGGTGGCCTTTCCCGGCAGGGCCCGATCCCTACGGGATGCCTGATCCTTACGGAAGAGGCTCCTGCCTTGACAAACAGGTCTTGAACAGGCCTGGAGGGAGTCCTCTGCCTTTAACTGAGGCCTGGAGGGAGTCCTCTGACCTTTTATTTTTCAGGGATATTTTAATGTTTGGTGTGTGTGTGTGTGTGTGTGTGTGTGTGTGTGTGTGTGTGTGCGCATAGCACGGTTCCACTTTGCAAGCCACCCCAGAAGGCTCTTGACCCTTTCAGCCTGCATAAACGAAGATAATGAAAGCAAATAGAAGCTGACCCACTCCTCCGTGGGCGACAGGGCCTTGGGTGCGCTGGGTGGCCTGGCCTCTTCTGCCTTCCCCAGCCCCCTCTGCAAGACCCCTCTTAGCAGCCCAGGGCTGGAGGAAGGCAGAGGGGCAGCAGCTCCCTCTTTCTGGAGGGAGTTTGGGAGTGGCGCCACCAGCCAAGTCTTTGCAGGAAGGATGGCGAATGAATGAATTTTATTATTACGGTCACAGACCAGGTCCGGGTCACTTACAATATCAGGAAAATAATAATAATAATAATAAATTTTATTTATATCCCGCCCTCCCCAGCCAAAGCCGGGCTCAGGGCGGCTAACAACAATAAAACAGTACAAAAGTACAGCACAAACAACACTCTAAAACCATTCATTATAAAATTAATTCAAATCAAGCCACTGGCAACCATTAAGCAAAATTCTGTGCAGATTGCCAGAGGAGGGAGTCAGGCTGTGCCCTGGCCAAAGGCCTGGTGGAACAGCTCTGTCTTGCAGGCCCTGCGGAAAGATGTCAAGTCCCGCAGGGCCCTGGTCTCTTGGGACAGAGCGTTCCACCAGATCGGGGCCATGGCTGAAAAAGCCCTGGCTCTAGTTGAGGCCAGCCTAACTTCTCTGTGGCCTGGGACCTTCAAGATGTTTTTATTTGCAGACCATAAGTTTCTCTGTGGGGCATACCAGGAGAGGCGGTCCCGTAGGTACGAGGGTCCTAGGCCGTATAGGGCTTTAAAGGTTAAAACCAGCACCTTAAACCTGATCCTGTACTCCACCGGGAGCCAGTGCAGCTGGTATAGCACCGGGTGAATGTGATCTCGCAGCGAAGACCCCGTAAGGAGTCTCGCTGCAGCATTCTGCACCCGCTGGAGTTTCTGGGTCAGTCTCAAGGGCAGCCCCACGTAGAGCGAGTTACAATAATCCAGTCTGGAGGTGACCGTCGCGTGGATCACAGTGGCTAGGTCAGGGCGAGAGAGGTAAGGAGCCAACTGCTTAGCTTGGCGGAGATGGAAAAACGCCGCCTTTGTTATAGCTGCAATCTGCGCCTCCATGGAAAGGGAGGGGTCGAAGATTACACCCAAACTCTTAACGGACGGTGCTGGCACTAATTGCACCCCCACAAGAGATGGGAGTTGCCCCCCCAATCCCATATCGTCCCGTCCCAGCCAGAGGACCTCTGTCTTCGAAGGATTTAGCTTCAACCGGCTCCCACGTAACCATCCAGCCACAGCTTCCAAACATCTGGTCAGTGTGTCTGGGGCCGAGTCAGGATGGCCATCCATCAACAGATAGAGTTGGGTGTCATCGGCATACTGATGGCAACCCAGCCCAAAACTCCGGACAAGCTGGGCGAGGGGGCGCATAAAGATGTTGAAAAGCATTGGGGAGAGTATCGCACCCTGAGGCACTCCACACACCAAGGAGTGGTGCAATGACAATTCCCGCCCCCAAGCACCACCCTCTGTCCCCGACCAGAGAGAAACGAGCGCAGCCATTGGAGGACTGTGCCGATCCCCAAGTCGGCAAGTCCAGGAGTTCGTGATCGACCATGTTGAAAGCTGCTGACAGATCTAGAAGAATCAGCAGCCCCGACCCACCTTGATCCAGCTGTCTACGAAGATCATCTGTTAGGGCAACCAGAGTCGTCTCGGTCCCATGACCAGCGCGGAAGCCGGACTGGAATGGATCCAGAGCCGATGTTTCATCCAGAAACCCACCAAGCTGTTCAGCAACCGCTCTCTCAATCACTTTTTACTCATAAAACACAAAACACAATTGCAATTGGGTACAACAGAGACAATTCAGATATAGTGGCAGTTATATATACAGTGGTGCCCCGCAAGACGAATGCCTCGCAAGATGGAAAACTCGCTAGACGAAAGAGTTTTCCGTTTTGGAGGTGCCTCGCAAAACGAATCTGCTATGGGCTTGCTTCGCAAGACGAAAATGTCTTGCGAGTTCCTGGGTTTTTTTTTTCCTTTCCCCCCTCTTTTTCTAAGTCGCTAAGCCGCTTATCTGCTTATCCGATAAGTTGATAAGCTGCTAAAAGCCGCTAATAGCCGCTAATAGCGCTAATAGCGCTAATCCGCTAATCCCATCAATGGGCTTGCTTCGCAAGACGAAAAAACCGCTAGACGAAGAGACTCCCAGAACGGATTCTTTTCGTCTTGCGAGGCACCACTGTATATCACTAAAATATAACCTAAAATTATCATTTAAAACCTTCGTCACTTTGGTAGTACCACTTGTTCCCTAAGTTTTATGGCAGTCGCACAGAATTTGGCCACCCTGAGTGTGATCTCCAGATCCTTGTTCTCTACCAGGAGTTTTAGACATTGAAGTTCGGACCCATTTGGAGATTTTTTTATAACAGGAGTGATGAATACCGAGCGTAGATCCCCGCAGAAACGGCAGCGTGACAAGGCATGAGAGACAGTTTCTACCTCCACGAAGCTGCAGGGGCAGACTCAGGAAGGAGGGTGGCAAAGGGGGCATTTGGGAGGGGGAGAGGGGTCAACTGCGATGGAGGACGAAGGCTGTTGCTTCTGGAATGGAGCTTCCGGCCTCTGCTCTTCGCAGAGCATACAGGGAGGGCTCTCTGGCCAGCAGCTACGCTCTGTCTGGTCAGAGGCAGCGATGCTTCTGAATCCCAGCTGCTGGAAACCACTGGAGGGGAGAGAGCTGCTCTTGCACCCCAGTCTCGCTTGTGAGTTTCCCATGAGGGCGTCGGGTTGGCCACTGTGAGAACAGGCTGCTGGACCAGATGGGTCTTTGGCCCATCTTCTGTTCTTGGGATCTCCTACCGAGCCTGCTTGTGGTGGCTGGCCTCCCTATTCCAGAGTCCTGTAAAGGGTCTGGTCCCTGGTGAGGCCTTGCTTGGGCACAGGATGCCTCTCCTGAGGTTTGGGGCGCTTCCTTGGTCCCGCAGAGACCCAGCTTGATCCCCTGGCTTTCGTTGCAGGAAGCAGAGATGCCGGACGAGGTGAACATTGATGATCTGCTGGAGATGGCCACAGACGAGGAGCGGGCCAAGAAGCTGCAGGTTGGTGCAGGAGGCTGCTGCCGTGGGGGGGGGGCTCTGTCTCAGTGCCAGGTCAGCTGCGTGGCTTGCAAGAGGTTACCCATCCTAGCCTGGCAGCATCTTCCGGTAGGGCAAGGAAACAGCCTTGCAGAGCCTTTCCCAAGTCAGCGTGGAGACTGCGCTGGGTGGAGCGGCGTTCTCAGCCAGGTTGAGGCAGGACCCCATGTTCCTGTGCCCCAAATGTGGAGGGAGGGAGCTTTGTGCAGGAAACCCCTCCGGATGAGATCCCTGAAAGAGCCATCTTGGAGTGTGGAAGGTCACAAGGTCCCTGGCATTTCCAGGTGGGGCTGGGCGAGAGGTGCTGCCAGCCAGTGTAGACAGTATTGAGTCAGATGGACCAATAGTCTGACTCTGTATAAGGTGGCTTCTTTACGGTCCTCTCCCAAGGCTGGTGGGCAGGATCCAGCGCTCCTGATGATAAGATTTCCAGCCTCTGCACATTTGTGAGCAAGCGAGTTCTGCCTCTGGCCTGGGGGCAATAACCAGGGATCCGCGGGGTAAAGGCCACTGGTGCAATTGATAAGCACGCCTGCCATGTTGCCGCGCCAGCTGGAAAGAAATCCAAATAGTAATCAATCGAAACCAAAAGAGTTTAAAGCGGAAGGGCACCCAAACGTTATCCAAGGGGAGATGAGTTTGCAGCAGGCCGAGGGGCCAGGGGGCCTGGGCGGGAGGGAGGCTTTTGGGGGATGGGGTTCGCAGCTGCACCGGGAGCAAAGAGAAGTGGGATTCTCCTCCTGCCCCCTCCCCAAATTCCAGGGTCAGAGGAGGGGGCTGAGGTGCAAGGCGGGCTCCCCCAGCTGTTCCTCATTCTCCTCTCTTTGCAGAGCATCTTGGAGTCCTGCCACAAGGACACAGAGGTGGGTGCCTTTGCTCTTTGACCCCCAGGGACCCCTCTGGCTTTTACCCTGCAAGGGGAGGGAGGGGAATTAGCCGCTTGCCCCCCCCCCCAGCACCTGCCGGATGAAGCCTCTCCCAGCAGGAGTGGTTGTCTGTGGAGGAGGAGGAGGAGGAGGAGGAGGAGGAGGAGGAGGAGGAGGAGGAGGAGGGGAGGATGCAGCTCCCATCGCTGGCGCAAAGCCCTCCCCACCCAGATACACAACACAGCCTCCCCCCTCCCTCCCTCCCTCCCTCCCGGTGGCTGCTGGGATGGCTGCTGGATCCTCCAGGGATTCCTGGCGTTCCAATCCCAGCTGGTCACTCCGAAAAGCATCCCCGCCTCCCCCACTGGATCCCTTCTGCTGAGAAGCACGGAGCCCCTCCCCCCAGGGCTAGCCAGCCTGGATGCTCTCAGGGCAGGGAGCTGGGGGGCAGCTTCCGGGGGGGCACTGTGAGAAGAGGATGCTGGATGGGGGGAGGCAATGGCCACAGCCAGGCTTTTCTGATGTCCTTATGGAACCCCCAGCTCCACAGGCAGTCTACCTGGACTCCTAAAGGTAAAGGGACCCCTGACCATTAGGTCCAGTCGTGACCAGCTCTGGGGTTGCGGCGCTCATCTCGCTTTACTGGCCGAGGGAGCCGGCGTACAGCTTCCGGGTCATGGGGCCAGCAGGACTAAGCCGCTTCTGGCGAACCAGAGCAGCGCACGGAAACGCCATTTACCTTCCCGCCGGAGCGGTACCTATTTATCTACTTGCACTTTGATGTGCTTTTGAACTGCTAGGTTGGCAGGAGCAGGGACCGAGCAACGGGAGCTCACCCCGTTGCGGGGATTCGAACCGCCAACCTTCTGATCGGCAAGTCCTGGGCTCTGTGGTTTAGGTAGACGGATATTTGGTCCCTTTGAGAGGAGGATGCTGGAGCGGATGGGCCCCTGGTCTGATCCAGCAGCCAGGCTCTCCTTGGGAATGCTTTCTCCCTCCCTTGCCGGCCGTTTTGACCCGGCTGTTGGCCCAGCCTGGCCTCTGACCCTCTCTCCCCACCGGCCAGAGAGAGGCGGGACTCACCCCTTCCTTCCTTCCTTCCTTCCTGTCGCAGGACTTCATCCAGGAGCTGCTGGGGAAGCTGAGGGGCCTCCGGACAGAGCACGTCCTCCGCCGGACCAGCCCCGACAGCGGAGGCGGTGGCAGCCGGGAGAGAGCGGATCAGGGCCTGGGGAGCCCGGAGGAGCGAGTGTGAGAGCCACCTGCTCTTGCGGAAGGCTTTGCCGAAAGCCTCAGGGGTGGACTCCTGGGGGAGGACGGGGGGTGGGGGAAATATAGAGGTCAGGCTGCCGGCAGCAGCAACGGTAGGGTCCCAATGGTGTCTGGATGAGGCGCATCTCCCCCCAGTTGCATCTGGCTGCAGGGAGGTCCCCCGCCCCACAGCTGCTGCACCCCTGCGCCCCCCAGCAGCATCTCTGAACCCCCTCCCCATTGTACAGTGAACAGTCTTGTCTGCTTTCTGTGTATCCTGTAATAAAGCACTCTATGTCTCAAACGGCTCACAGGTCAGCTGCTGCCTCGGCTGTGGAGGTGGGGGGTTTTCCAGGGGGAGGGGGTACCTGTCGCACACCTGCTGCTGACATCGGCTGCAGGGATAGGCAGCCTGTGGCCCCCCAAAGCCATCAGGGAAACATGCAGTTGGAAGGGACCCCCCAGGGCCATCTAGTCCAGCCCCCTGCAATGCAGGAATTGCTGCTTTGGATCCTGCTGGGCCCCCCCTCAAGTGCCCAGAAGCCTCTTTTGGGGCTCTGGCCTCCAGCTCTGCTTCTTGTGAACCAGAGTCCATTCATGCCCCCCTCTCTCTCTGCCAGGGGCAAACTCTGGGGCTCCTCTCCAGCTCAAAAATGATGCCAGTGTGGCTGGGCTCTGAGGTTGGCTTCTGCTGCTGCCTCCGTGACCCCCTGCTGCCCTCCCCCTTTGGGGGCCGTGAGCCTGGCCTCCAGTGGCCTTTGGGGCTGGGGGGTAGTAGCCGTGCCTGGGCCCAGTGGCCGTCTCCGGGACGCAGCCTCTCCCAGTTGCCGATCTTGTTTACAGCGCAGGATAAACAGCTGCACGCAGCACATCCCTTTTGGACGGGAACAACAAGGCCTTCTCCGCTGGCCTCTCCTGACCTTCCCAGGCTGCGTCTTCCTGCATTTCCAGCTCTGTCAGGGTTTGGGCAGAGAGGGGGAGCAGGTCCCACCCCCTTGGTGGGGAGGCTGCCCTTTTCATAAGGGGGGGGGGTTCCCCTCCTGGAGAGCTGGCCTTGTCTCTTCACTTTAAAACAGGCTTCTCCTGCCCCAGTTGTCTTCCCCATGGACCCAAAGAGCTGGACGGGACTCCGATTTCAAGGCAGGCGTCTCTGGCAGGTGGCCAACCCGGCCTCTGAGAGACCACAGCCTTTGGAGGGAGTCAAGCAGCTCTTACTGTCACCAAGTTCTTGGTTCTTAGAATCTCCTCCCTTGTAACTTGAATTCATCGGTTCAGTTCCCCCCCTCCAGAGCAGGGAGAAACAGGCGTGTTCCTCCTTCCATGTGGCAGCGCTTGAGTTTTGGGAAGCCAGCTCTCCTATCTCCTCTTAGTCTCCTCCAGGCTAAACACCCCCAGCCCCTTCAGCTCTTCCTCATAAGGCTTGCTTTCCAGACCCGGGATTATTTACATCACCCAGATTAAAATGTGTTGCCCAGAACCGGCCGCAGTATTCCAGGTGTGGCCTGGCCCAGGCAGAAGAGAGGGAACGGACTTCCCTTGATCTGGACACCCGATTGGCATTCGCTTCCCCGCGCTCTCTGATGCGCCTTCATAGTTGCACAATTTCCCCTCAGCGCCTTGTTTTCCTCAGTTCCTCTGGCAACCCCAGCGCAGCAGGGACCTGGGGGGCGGAGGGCCTTTTATGGTCTGCTTAGCTTGCAGCCACGGACCCAACTGGCACGGCAGACACCGTTTAACTACCAGGTTTAATGACTGGAAATGAACTCTTTTCAGGCTGTCCTTCCAAAAACAATGACTTCACGCGGCCCTTTGGCCCCCTTCAGCAGGAGGAGGCGGAAAACCCCACGGCGGCCTCCCTGGCTCGGCCCTTTCCTCGCTCGCAGCGGAGATACAGTGGGGCATTCATGCCTTTGCCGCTTCCCTCCTGCCTGCCCCCCTCCCCAAAGAGCACACGTGCCCATTGTCTTCTTCTCCCTCAATGGCGCTCTGTGGTTTGCTGTGCCAACCTGTGCCAGCCTCTGCCCAGAGGCCTCTTGCCGCATCACAGGCAGCTGGAAACTCGCCTCCCACCTTCAAGGTGGTAGACTCTCCTTCAGGGGGGTGGCTTTTAATAAATAATAATAATAATTTATTATTTATACCCCGCCCATCTGGCTGGGTTTCCCGTCACTCTGGGCGGTTTCCAGCAAAATATTAAAATACAAGAATTCATCAAATATTAGCTTCCCTAAGCAGGGCTGCCTTCAGATGTCTTCTAAACGTCAGATAGTTGTTTATTTCCTTGCCTTCTGGTGGGAGGGCATTCCACAGGGCGGGCACCACCACCGAGAAGGCCCTCTGCCTGGTTCCCTGCAGCCTCACTTCTCGCAGGGAGGGAACCACCAGAAGGCCCTCGGCGCTGGACCTCAGTGTCTGGGCTGGACGATGGGGGTGGAGACGCTCCTTCAGGTCTACTGGGCTGAGACCATTTAGGGCTTTCAAGGTCAGCACTAACACTTTGAACTGTGCCCCCCAGCGATGAGGCTTCTGCCGCAACTCCTGCATTTGCAGGGAGCCCAATGAGAGCCACAAGAAGCCCATGATTCTGTGCCCTTGGCTGGGTGCTGGAAAAGGGATGCCTGGCCGCCTGGAGGAGGTGGCAGGGAAGGAGGAGAGACTGGCTGTGGGCAACTTAGCCTCTTCTTCTGCCCCCCTCCTCCCCTGTGCAGGGAGTGCAGGCTAGCCCGACCCTCTGCTGCTGTGGGGGGTGAGCCCCTTCTTTGCCTCCGTGGAGAAGGCACCAGGCTCCCCACCCAGCCTTGGCTCCGGTTGCACCCAGTGATGTCTCCCTGGGGAGCCTGGCTCTGATCTCCTTATTTGGCATGAGGCAAAGGATGGCGGTGGGGGGCTCTCTGGACTGCCTCCGGCAGATTCAGTCGTCGTCTTCTTTGGCGATCCCTCGTAGCTGAGTAAGATTGTCTTCCATAAACACAGTTTTAACAATGAGTCCTTAAGTGACTGTGGAGGCCAATTCTGGATCCACACGTCCTTCCACAGTGGGGACATTGGTTTCCGGGCGGGAGCTGATCACTGTGTGGATTTGCCAAGCGCACCTTCCTCTTAGCACCTTTCTCCCTTGCGTCCTGAGTTCGAGTGTCTTCAAAGGCCAGGACACCTTTGGAAAAGGCTGTTCTCCAACTGGAGCGCTCGCAGGCCAGTGTTTCCCAGTTGTCGGTGTTTATACTACATTTTAAAAGGTTTGCCTTGAGACAGTCTAAACCTCTTTTGCTGACCACCAGCATTACGCTTTCCATTTTTAAGTTCAGAATAGAGCAGTTGCTTTGGAAGACGATCATCAGGCATCTGCACAACATGACCAGTCCAACGAAGCTGATGTTGAATCATTGCTTCAACACTGGTGATCTGTGCTTCTTCCAGTACACTGGGGCTGGGGAGGGTGTCACATAATTGGCCCCAGGCCCAAGGGGGCGACCTCAGGAAGGGGCAGCCCACGAGAGGCGGTGGCAAGCTGGAGGCAGGGATGCTATCTCTGGGAGGGTGGAGGCAAAGGGTTAACCTGCCCCCCAGCATCAGCCTAGGAAAATGGGGTGGGGGTGGGCAGGCAGCAGCTGGAATTCACCCCCCCCCAAGGAGGCAGTGATGGCCACTGACTTGGATGGCTTTGAAATAGGAAGAGTTTGTTCTTCTGGGTTTCCCATAATGGGCATTTAATTAGCCACTGGGTGCCTCCCCCCCCCCCCCGCTCTTCCTATGTTCAGCTGGTATCACTTGTCCAGGACCACTTCTCTCTTGCACCCTCACTTCCACACTTGGTTTCTCCACTCACTTTCTGAATTTGCAACCTGGAGGCTGATCCCTCAGCCAACCCTCCTGGGGGACTCTGGCTGTCCCAGAAAGGGTTAATGTGCTGCCTCCTTGCTGGATAAGTGGGCAGATGCCGCCCCCTGGTGGCTGCAGGAGGTGCTGCATAGGCCTCTTCCATTCTGGCTCAGGAAGAAAAAACTCTCAGCACCTTCAACTGGGTCAGGCCCCCCACCCCCAAATCAAGCAAGTGTCGGGGTGCAGGGAAGGTTTGCACAAAGCGAAGGAAGGACGGCTCTGAGGCAGAGCTTCACTAGATGCTGGGGACACTTAAGGCCAGACGCAAATGCAAAGGTTTTGAAAATGCAAATCACATCCTCCTGACCGTCTGGTAACGGATGGGATCAGCCCAGGCATGGAAGAGGAAGAAGCGAACCCTTTCTCTTTTCCACGCAGGCCTGAGGAAAACTCCACTTCTGGATCCAGGGTTAATTTCTCCTTCCACACCTGCTACAGACCACTTTAATTATCAGCCCAACACCTGATGAAATCTGCATTTAAAAAGAAAAACGTTTTTAAGCAATGCAAGCAGCCAGTGGGGTTCCCCACCAATTGGTACTGGGATCTTTTATTCATGATCGGTCTGAAGGTGGCAGGTAACACCAAACTATTCGCAACCGGAATAAAAGCAGACTTGGGAGGGATGCCCCATGCTGCGCGGATGTCTGGCACAGTAGACGGGGAGCTGCCTTCTGACACGGGACTCGGCCAAAGTGATGCTCACTGGGGCAAAATAACCCCACTGTGCAGGTTCCTGGGAGCTCAGATACCATCACTGTATGAGATCTTGGGGTCACAGTGGATAGCTCAGGGAAAGCATAAACCCCGAGTGCAGCAGCTTTGAACTTTAGAGAAGGGGTAAAAATAAGACTGCCAGTATGATATGGTTCCTGCCCATCCTGGGGCAAAGTGAGTGGGGTGCCACCCAGTTCTATACGGGGCTCATTGTTGTTCAACATCTGTATAAATGACTTGGATGAAGGAATTGAGGGGATGCTCATCAAATTCGCAGAAGACACCAAACTGGGAGAGGTAGCTAATGCCGTGGAAGACAGGATCAGAATTCAAAATGACCTTAACAGATTGGAGAACTGGGTGCAAGCTAACGAAATGATTTCCAGTAGAGAGAAACGTAAAGAACCTTAGACAGGAACACTTAGGCAGGAAGAACCAGACGCACCAATATAGGATGGGGGACACCTGGCTTACTAGCAGGACATGTGGAAAGGATCTGGGGTCTTGGTGGACCACAAGCTGAAGATGAGTCCACAGGGTGAGGCAGCAGCAAAAAAACCCCTAATGCTAGAAGTCTAGTGTCCAGATCAAGGGAAGTCATAGTCCCACTCTATTCTGCCTTGGTCAGACCACACCTGGAATACTGTGTCCAGTTCTGGGCATCACAATTAAAGGAGGAACATGTGCAGAGGAGGGTGACCAAGATGATCAAGGGTCAGGAAACCAAGCCTGATGAGGAATGGTTGAGGGTGTTGGGTATGTTTAGCATGGTAGAGACTGAGATGGAGAAATGAGAGCCATCTTCAAATATCTCTAGGGCTGTCCCATGGAAGAGGGAGCAAGCTTGTTTTCTCCAGCTCCAGAGAGTCAGGTCTGAACCAAAGGCTTCAAGGAAGGAGATTCTGACTAAACCCTGGGAAGAGCTTTCTGGCAGCAAGAGGTGCTCCACAGGGGAACAGTCTCCCTTGGGGGGTTGTGGCCTCTCCTTCCTCAGAGGTTTTAAAGCGGAGGCTGGAGGGCCACCTGTCAGGGAAGCCTGAGCTGAGATTCCTGCATTGCAAGGGGCTGGACTAGAGGACCCTTGGGGATCCCTTACAACTCTACCACTCTATGATGATGCCCTGAAACAAATCTTATTACGCTGGAATGCTTTGAGCACGTCTGTAGACCTGAGAAAGGGGCCACCCAAGCGACGAGGGGCTGGAGCACTTTCCCTTTGAGGCAAGAGGACAGTATTTAATGCACAGAATCCACTGTCCCAAAACATCGCTCTGGGTCCCAATTCAGGATGCCATCAAAATAAAACAACCATGGAGACGGGGGAGGTCTCTCCAGTGGCTCATAAGTCATGATAGCTATGCTGAACCTCCATATTCAGAGGAAGTCTATCTCCACATAGCAGATGCTGGAGGGGCCTGTTGCGTCCGTGTCCTTCGTGCCTCTGTGGCCCCTGTGGCTGGGCCAGGTGGACGCTGGCCGTGGTCTGAGGGGGCAGCTGCAAGGTGGTGGGACCTGGTGTGCTTGGAGCCGCTTCTCCTCTGGCGCTGCCCCCCACTGTCTTTCAGCAAAGACCCCCGTCAATTCAGCTCCTGGCCAAGCCCCTGCCTCTCCTTGCTGCCTGCCTGGACCCTTGAGCAGGCAATTGGGGCTGCCTCTCCTCGTCACCCCAGGACCCCGCAGGCCCAGCCCCTCGGGGGACGTTCAGCAGGAAGGCCGCAGCCACACCGGTGGAGCTGGGGAGGGGCGCGTGGGCAGGCGGATGCTCTACAGGGCTTTGGGCACAGGCCGCTGGTATTCCTCCATGATGCGCAGGACGTCATCCAAGATGGAGGGGCCTAGGTCCAGGTCCAGGCGCAGCAAGGACTCCGAGCGAGGCAGGGGGGCTGCTCCCCCACAGGGGCACTCCTGGCTGCCCACCGCACGGTACCCGCTGCCCCCCACAAAACAGCCGCCTTCTGGTGGGGGGGCCGAGAAGGAGACGGACGAGGCCAGCGGCTCGTAGTGAGGGCCGGCCGTGGCGGAGAAGGAGAGGCCTTCGGCGGCGCTGGCACAGCCTACCGACATGGAGCGCCCCTGCCCCCCGCCGCTGGGCATCTCCTCCAGGTGGAGGCGGGGCGGCTTGGGGGGTGCCTGGTCCTGGGCGCCGCTGAAGGCGGGCAGGGAGACAGCGCTCTTCAGGAGGGTGCGGTAGCCGCCCCCACCCCCTGGGGAGCCCCCGCAGCGGCCCAGGCGGGGCAGCAGGTCATACTTGCCCTGCAGGAAGGAGAGCTCCCCAAACATGTCGCCCTCCCCGTCCAGGCCGATGTGGGCGCTGTGGCGGAAGTCGCCCAGCGGGGGGCTGATCATGTCGCTGGAGAGCACGTCCCGCAGGCGCAGCTTCCGGCCCCGCTTGGGGGTGGAGGTCTTCAGGTAGATGGGGGTCTTGGCTGGCATCTCTGGGGGGCGCAGGGAGTGACCCTCAGTGGCTGGGCTGACTTCGCCCTCAGGTCAAAGGCCACTTCTCCCAAGAGGCTCCTCAGAAGGCCAGCTGGCTGGGAGAGGGGCCTTTTCTCACAGGACTGGCAGGTGCCCCTTCCAGAGCCACTGGAAGGCGGTGGCGACTCCTCCTCCGTGGTGCCAGACACCTTTCTTGGGCGCGGAGCTCCTCTGCTCAGCCGCCCTCTGCCCTGGGAGGCATTTTGAGCCCTGTGGGAGGAGCAAACAGGCACAGGTGAGCCTGGCAGAGGCTGTAGGGATCTCTCGCCAGTTCCAATCTGCACACACGTTCCCTTCCTTCTGCCTTTCTGGCCGGGGGACATTCCCAGGCCAGGGGTCCATGCTCCACGTCCTGCTCCCATCCCTGCCAGCAAAATCTAGGCAGCCACATCGATCTGCCCAGGCTGGGCAAAGAGGGGGTGAGAAGCAAGATGCTGGGAAGGGGAGGCACAGGCCTGACTCTTCTCCCAGCAAATCTGGGGCTGAGACCTGCTATGGGGCGAGTAGGGATGTGGGTGGCGCTGTGGTCTAAACCACTGAGCCTCTTGGGCTTGTTGATTGGAAGGTCGGTGGTTCAAATCTCTGCAACGGGGTGAGCTCTGTCCCAGCTCCTGCCAACCTAGCAGTTTGAAAGCATGCCAGCGCAAGTAGATAAATAGATACCGCTGTGGCAGGAAGGTACATGGTGTTTCTGTGCGCTCTGGCACTCGTCACGGTCCTCCATGTGCCAGTAGCAGTTTAGTCCTGCTGGCCACATGACCCAGAAAGCTGCCTGTGGACAAACATCAGCTCCCTCGGCCTGAAAGCGAAATGAGCACCGCGACCCCATAGTTGCCTTTGACTGACCTTAACCGTCCAGGGGGCCTTTACCTTTACCTATGGGGAGAGTAGAGGCTCCCCTCCCAGCCAGTCAGTCGAGGAAGAAAGCCTGCCCAAGCACAGCTCCCCTGACCTCTGGTGCCCAGCCAAGGGCCATGATCTGCCCTGCTTTGAGGCTGGAGGCAGCCTCAGGTACCCAGAGGGCTCCTCAGGCCAAGAGGCCGCAGCAGGAGCCCTGGGCAGAGGAGGGCCAGCTTGGCCTTTTGGTGTGGCCTGGAGCTGGCAGGGTGGGAGGCGAAGGGCTTCCTTCCCCCAGTGGGACAGAGTCCTGCCTCCTCTGGCTGCTGGGCTCAGCCTCCTCCCCTCGGAAGGGCCAGGAGGGCCAGGAGCGCCAACCCCAAAAAAGCCAGGGTGAGCAGCCGGCTGTCCTCGCAAGGAGCCCCTGTGGATTCTTATGGCTGTTTGGGATTGAAAATGGTATCGTAAAATACGGAGGGATGGATGTTAATGAACTGCTGTGTGCAAATGCCTCAAATGAGCAGGCAGACAAACAGGGACCCGCGTCCCCTCTTTCTCCCTCACCCCCCAGAGAGACTGAAAGGTTATCCAAGGAGGAAGTCAAGGGAACAGCTGGAGGGAGACCCCTGAGGGATGGTGCATCTGACCAAGGTCAGGGCCAGGGCCACCCCCCGGCTGACCCCAAATGCGTTTGGAATGATTTATGGACTCGCTTGGCCCAAAGCACTTCAGCCGCAGCAGCAGCAGCTGAGATCAATAGTGCAGCAGCCAAGCAGGAAAAGTGGACTGCCTGTCCAAGGGGGTCAATAAGCAGTAGAAGGAGCAGCCATGAATAACCTGCCGCCAGGTGACTGGGGCACAGGGAGCCTCTTTGCCACGCCCACCAGCTGGCTCAGCTCAGCTCTCCTCACTCGACCCCAGTGCCAAGGCTCCCCCCTGCTCCCCCCCCCCAAGAAGACAGGCAGACCTCAAGAGATTCCTGGGAGGGACAGGAATTGCAGCGCCCAGAAACAAGCAGCCTCCTCCTCTGCAAAGGGCACCCTGGGAACTCAGAAGTGCACCCAAGGGACCCTCCTCCTCAGGAGTCAGGAACCCACTGATCTCCAATGGCAAGGAGGAGGAGGAGGAGAGGAAGTCTCAGGGCTCTGCCAGCCGGCTGGCCTGCCCCTCCCTCAGCCTCCTTGCCAGGCTCAAGGGCAGCGCTCAGAGATGCCTCCGAGGCCAGCCCCAGAGCGGCACTTGCTCCCTTATGTAACAGGCTTATCGTGGAAATCAGTTTCCTCTGCCCTTCTTCTGATCTTGCTCTCTGAACAGCTGCTCCCCGACAAATCCCAAGTCTGGATGAGGCCCTGGCTCCTCTGGCAAGTGGCACAAAACAAGGAGAGGAGGACGACGGGCCCTCTGGAGTTTCTGCCCCTCCCAAGCAACACCCCTCCCCAAGGGTGCAGGCAAGGCTTGACCTCTTCCCTACCACCCTGCACATCTCTGGGTACACATGTGGGGAAGGGTGCGTTCGCCAAACGAGGCCTGACCTCACCACAAACTCCTGCCCAAAGTTGGCCACCCGACAGCAATGCCTTCCAGTGAGCCCCTTCCCCATTTAAGGCTCACCTGCGGAGCCAAAGAGAGATGGGGAGAGAGGTGACCGAGTGCCCAAGCCCTGAGCATCTCCGCAGGTGAGAAGGGAACCAGGAAGAGCAGCAGGGCTCTGTGGGGGCCGGGAAATGTGCCACCTCTGCTCTGCTTTCGCCCAAATGTTTTGGATGACAACTCCCAGCATGCGGCCAACAGGGGTGGGGGTGGGGGGTGCTGGGAGTTGGAGGCCCACAGCATCCGGAGGGCAGGAAGTCAAGGAGTCAAAGGACCAGACGAGATGGTGTGGTTGCTGTTTCTGCCCCCCGCTAGCTAAACCTCCTTGCAAGGGGCTTGTGAAAGGGACCCCCTCCCTCCTGCTTCCTGCCCGCCCGCAGCCTGCCAGCCCCTTTCCCCTCCTTGCACCCAGGGCTGAGTCTCCCCCGCCATCTCTCTCCTGCTGCCCTGCCCTGCTTCTTGGCAGGCTCCCCACCCTCCCAGCTCCATCCCACGAGGGTTGCACTTGCCTGGAGCTGCCCAGCACCTTCTTGCTCCACGCTACACCGAGGGAGCCTGTGAGAACACCCAGCCCCAGTCCGAGGAGGAGTCTGAGCCGGCCTCTGACGCAAAGCCAAAGCCCAGCTTAGGCCGCCTCGTCCCCCCCCTCCCCGGAGGGGCTGCAGACAGGCACTCCGCCCAGCCCAGCCCAGCCCTGTCCACATGGAGGGAGAAGAAGACAACATCACCCCTTTGCTGCACAAATCAATGGCAGCAAGCTGGTCTCCCCATGGCCCTGGGGAGAAGCAGGAAGGGACAGGATGTGGCAGCTGGTCCAAGAGGCCAAAGGGCCACAGCGGAAGAAGCACAGGCCAGAGAGAGAGAGAGAGAGCAGGAGAAGTTTATAAAGTTATGCAGGGCCCAGAGAAAGCAGAGGGAGAAAAAAAATTCCCACTCTCTCCTACAGTGCCGGGTTTACGTATAAGCTAAACAAGCTACAGCTTAGGGCCCCACTCTCTATTGAGGCCCCCCCAAAAAATTTAAAGACAAAACAACACTGGATGTACATTTCCAAAATATAAGGTAAAAAGCAAATAAAATAAAACCTACATCCAGCAACAGTGTTTTGTGTTGTGTAGCCTCCTATGATATTATTAATATTAATTAATATTAATAACAAGATATTATGGGCTATCCCGTGAATCCGTTGGATGAAATAGCAGAAGAACGTTGCCTCAGGAGAGTGAGGGAAATTCTTAGGGATGATTATTCACACCCTGGCCGGCACTTTCTTGATCTCCTAACCTCAGGCAGAAGATATAGAAGCATGATTAGTTGAACCAACAGGGTAAAGAACAGCTTCTATCCGTGGGCTGTTAGGCTGCTGAATGAAAAGAAAACAACAGGGCAACTGACTTTGGGGTTTGGTGTGCGTGCATCAGTAAACGAGGGGAATTAAGACGAAGAGAGCTGAGTGGGGGGTGCTCGTGTAATCTCACTGTATACAAGTTGTACAAGTGACAATAAAGTATTTCAATAATATACTTGTTCTTAATTGTTTTTCACTATTAATATGCTTCTTCTTAACTGTATTTCAGTTCAACAATTATTTTGATAAAATACATATTTTGTGATGTGCAAATGGCTTGAGATGCCTATTAGGTCCATAAATGACCATCTAGCATATATTCAACACAAAAAACAGCGACCATTTGTTGCTGACAAAGGACAGCTGGACATAGAAAGGGCCCTATTACCTTCAGGAGCTGAGGGCCACATCAAACCTCAATCTGGCCCTGCTCTCCCAACACCAGCAGAAGCGGAATTTTGGACGATTCAGGGCAGATAAAAGGAAAGTCCTTCTTCAGGCAGAGAAAGGCCCTAGATGGCTTTAAGGGAAGACGGAGGGCGATGGAGGCCGTCTCACCATGGCTCAGTTCTGCCTCCACAGTGAGAGGCAGCGAAGCCACAGGAGGGGAGGGGGGGCTCTCTTTCTTAGCATTCCCCTCGGGGCATCTGGCTATTATTACTACTTGTGACTTATTCCATTTGCATACTGCCCTGTACCTGCAGGTCTCAGGGCTCTTCACAGGAGGAAAATCACAACGTGAAAACACAAAATGCATAATCAAAATGAAAACAGGAACAACCCAATACCCCCCAAAGGCCTGGTTAAAGAGGGACATTTTTGACTGGCGCTTCTGAGACAGCAGGATGCTGGACTGGGTGGGCTGCTGCCACTGTCCTTCTGCTCTTGGACTGACACTGCAGAGGCGGTTCTCTGCTAGCAGCCTCCAAGGTGGGTGAGCTGGAGGGCCTGGCTTGAAAGCAGAGCATGGATATGGTGGGATTGGGAGATGAGAACCAGCAAGAACCCTCCAGAGGAAGCGCAAGGCAGGCTTCTTGTCAAATCTCAGGTGGTCAGACTGCTGCTCCACAGGGCCCAAAGGCCGGCCCCACCATTCATTTATTACCAGGATGTATGATCACATCCCAGCCAGGCTGCCTAACACCCAGGGGGATGAAGATCTTGAGGCGGAACATGACTTCAA